CCAAAACCTTGGAAATAGACTAGCCAAGTGCCTGATCTCTTACACATGGAGGAAATAACTGCTGCCTTCCTGCCCCATAAGGTGATAAGCACATGAACAGGAGGTATAATGGTCATTAGTTATGCTCCATCTGAAAGTGTGGCAAACTTCAAAGAACATGGAGACAGTTGTTATCTATGGGGATCCATCTGAGCCAGGCCCTCAACCCCTTAGCTAAAAAAGACTGTCCCCTTAGCACTTCATTCCTTTGAAATAATCTTTGATTTCACCAAGGGCGACCTGCTTCATATGCAAATATGTCCCTGGCAGGGACCAAGGAAAGGAATAAAAGAGGAGTGGGGCAGACTGTCCTCCTAGAGGGGAAGAAAATTGTGGGAATCTCAAGGTGAGGAAAAAAAAAAAAAAGTCTAGAGACAGGTTAGTTAGAAGCAGCTGGTGGGGAGAAACTCTACAGTCCAGATCCCAGCTCTTCTAGCTCTGCGAATTTAGGGAAGTTTTTTTTGTTGTTGTTGTTTTTGAGCCTCCTTTGCCTCCTTTATCAAAAGGAATAATTGCTCTAAGACAAGGGAAATAAAATAGCTGGCACAGAGTAGCCACAAATGTTTGTCTCTTCCTCCTAGCTTTGAACTGATTTCATAGTTTTGCTAAGTGTACAGCAGTCTGCCTACAAATGTCCCTTCTCCCACCTTACCCCCTCTCCTTTGCCTTCTCCCAGCTTGGACAGCCAAGTCCCCAAGACTGGAGACTCTTTGAATGAATGGTTCCATGAAAAGGCAGCTTGTGCTGGCTGCCCTTGGCACTGTTGGACAAGGGTCTCCCGGGATTAATACCCTCTCACTTCCTTCTCCCAGATAGCTCTCCCTGCTCCCTTGGGTGCAAAAGTGAGGTGGTAGCTGGTGCCCCCCCCCCCAATCCATAGGCAGTCATTCTCTTTCCATTGTGTTCCTGGGGCTCCATTGTGGAAGCCCTCTCCTCCACTCTAGCCATAGGGCTCTGCCTTTTCTCTCAGCTCCCATGATTCTTAAGGTAACACCACACAGCTTTCCACTTGATTATATCCAATTAGCTAGTCTTATATTTGGGAGAGTGCTAACTTAGCCTCAAGGGCAGTGAGCAGGCCTTCTCATTTCCTTGGATTCTCATGGAACATGTAGCACAGAGCTGTTCACACAAAAGTGTTCACTGTAGCTCTGTGCAATTGAGGTGACTCATTTATATATTCAGCAAATACCTACATCTGATAGGATTCTTAACCATTAGGCCTTAGAAGCAGAAAGGATAGACCTTTCAACACGTGGGAAGGGGTTGGAGACTCCTCTCAAAAATTATTGGCTTTGGGGATCCCTCGGTGGCTCAGCGGTTTGGTGCCTGCCTTCGGCCCAGGGCCTGTTCCTGGAGACCCAGGATGGAGTCCCACGTCGGGCTTCCTGCATGGAGCCTGCTTCTCCCTCTGCCTGTGTCTCTGCCTCTCTCTCTCTCTATGTCTATCATGAATAAATAAATAAAATCTAAACAAAAAAAATTATTGGCTTTAAAGATATTACTGCCAATGGGAGCAAAACAACCACAGCAAAATAACAGGTAGTGCAGGCAACAGATGGCTAGTTAAGATCTTTGGAGACAGACCTGGATTTGAATCCTGCTTTGCCACTTTATAGCTGTGTAACCTCAGACAAGCTACATATTCTCTGCCTCAGTTTTCACATCTGCAAAATGGACATAATAGTACCTATCTCATTGTAAGAATTGACGGAGACAAGTATACCCAAGTTCTTAGCACAGTGCCTGGCCTCCAGTGCATGGCCTGTATGTGGCCACTAGTTGTAATGATGTTAGTCATTTACTTAGGAGAATATTCCCTGGAATGAGACTTGGGTGATCTGCAACAGCTCAGTTGGACAAGGCTGTTAGAAAAAAGGCTGAAGAACAGTGCAAAAAAGAAAGAAACAAAATTATAAACAAGCAGTGCCCCAAACCACAATCAGTCCTATCTAGAATTAGCTACCCACCCACTAAGCACTGTTGGGGCTCCAAAGCATACCACTCTATAGTAGGACTAGTCAGAGTTTCTGAGGGCACAGAGACTGGTGCAAATATACAAGAGTAAGGCCTTTGGGATCCCTGGGTGGCGCAGCGGTTTGGCGCCTGCCTTTGGCTCAGGGCGCGATCCTGGAGACCCCGGATCGAATCCCACGTCGGGCTCCCGGTGCATGGAGCCTGCTTCTCCCTCTGCCTGTGTCTCTGCCTCTCTCTCTCTCTCTGTGACTATCAATAATTAAAAAAAAAAAAAAAAAAGAGTAAGGCCTTTCCACTCTCCAGTTGTGGTACAACAGTATAACATTTGCTAACCATTGAATGAAAAGAACACTGGTGAAACAGACAGACTAGGCCTCAGGCCAAGCTCTACTGTAACCCCAGGCAAGCCACTAACCATCCCAGACTGTGCTTTCCATAAGGCCTGCTCTCCTTTCCTCCCTGGGTCGGTGAGATTCAAGAAAAATGCTAAATAAAAGTATTTTGAAAACTGACATACTGACCAAAAGTAAGGTGGGACTCATAGCTCTAGGGACAGGCAGTCCTGTTTGCACAGCCCTGCCTCCAAGCCTCTCCACACCCTCAGCATCTTCAAGACTTGCTTGGTCAGTCTCTCCTTTCCATGAAGCCTCTGAGGGGCTTCTCAGTGCTGTGTTCCTGTTTCCACTTCTGGCTACACTGTTACAGTGATTTAAGGATCTGAACAGGGTCAGCGTCTTAACTCTCCTCTCCATTCCTGGGGCCTGCAAGGACTGGCACTGTTGGCTAAATGTAATTTGGATACTCTACTTGGATAATGGATAAACAAACAAGGCTACCCCAAGCCACAATAGGGCCCACCAGCTCTAGACTGCCGCACTCAATAATTCATCTTTTACTGCACGCAACCTTTTCACGTTTTGCTTAACTTACATTTAATACTAGATGCATTTGTCTCATCTCCCTATTGGCCATCAGCTTTAGAGACTGAATCCTGTACCTCTCAGCACCCCAAAAGCATGCCTGGGCCTAGACCTGCCCCTGGGAAATGCTCAGTAAGCATTTATTGCCAGACAGTTCTTAGGCCTCAGTCACCTGATCAGGATGTGTGATAATTGCCACATGCCAGACTTTGCAAAAGTAGTGATTCGAAGCACAAGGTTTGGAGCCAGGCAGTGGGACATGGGCAAGTTACTTAACTGCGCCTCTGCCTCCATATCTGTAAAACAGGCATAATACTGTATTGACCTCATAGGGTTGGGATGAACATTAAATCATTGATACATATAAGCCCTTAGAACAGTGTCCATCGAACAAAAAACTCACCCAGTTCACCGTTGCTGTTACTAGCTGAGACTGATGCTGCAGTTTTGAGAAGGCCCAGTTCTGATCCCTGCAGCTGTAAAGAAGGGGAGCTGTGTTGCTCGTAGACAGTAGCTTTCTGTTTCAGGCCCAGGCCTCTGAAGCCTCAGTATGTGACTGAGGGTAGCAGACCATGCCACCCCCAAATATGCTGCTCTGGCACATTAATTATTTTGAGCTGTAGGCACTTGAAAAACAGCAATTGCAGGGAGCAGCTTTCTCTAAACTCTTATCTGCCTAAAGACAGATCCTCCAAAAGGAAGTCAGTTGTCATAAACCTCCTCCCTAGGAGTTTCTGCAACTGGGAAAGATTGACTCATCACAGGAGAGACGAGAAGTGGACACCACACCCAGACAGATTTTGTCACAAACTATCATACCTCTCATCTGTTCTTCTAAGGGCCCATTCATCTTTCCTAAAAATCTCCCCTAAGAGGCCTACATCTCCCCCTCCCTTTTCCCTATTAAGATGCTTAATCCTGAATTCTAAGCCACCTAGGGAAGTTAGTAATTTTTCCCTCAGTGTCTCCCATGTATACATGAGGAATACATGTCCATAAACTTCTGTTTTCCTCTTATTACAGAGGTCTCAGCTAAAAATACAGATGGGTAGAGGTAAAATTCCCTCTCCTCTACATGATGAAATTTAGTGATTTAGTAAGAGGATTTCCAGAATCTTGGCACACTCAGCAGAAATACTGAAGATGTGACCAGGTGCTCATTGAGGCCCTATGGGAAGCTGAATATCACCACATCAGAACCCTTTCCTTAGGGGCCACAAGCTCTGGGAAGCAGAAATCCTGAAGTGCATGGTGCAGGGACAGGGCAGAGGCAACCCAGCATCAACTACCTTGTTCTTAACTGTGTGCCTTCTTTGTAAGCGAGACCCACAGTCCCTCCCCTGTTGAGGAACCTGAGCCAAGTTGCCTGGAATGTGCTCTGCACAAGTGCTCAAACATTACAGTCACTTATCAATACAGCCTTAGCTCATGTTGGTCCTTCTGCTAGGAAATACTTCTCATTAGACTCTACCTATAAAAAATTCTACCAGGCCTCCAAAGCACAGCTCAAAAGATGCCTTTTTATTCATTTAACCAAAAATATTTGCTCAATGCCTGCTTATTTGAACTAGATCTTCTTTTGGGGATACCAAGAGGAAGAAGGAGTGCAGAGTCTAGTGCACACAGCCAGGCAAATAAACAAATATTGAAATTCAGTGCAACGAGGGACTATCATAGAAGCACGTACAAAGTATAGTGAGGCCCTTTAAGCTCTCACCCTGCAGGGAAGACAACTGACTACAATTAAATGGCTAGAATAGTTTCAATTTGATAAACGTGTTATTGAAGAAAATAAAAATCAGTTAACATGAAAGAAAATGGCTGGCAGGTTGGATGGTCAGGGAAGAGTTAGGTCTCTAGTGAGGCCAGAGTGCGATGATGGGAAGAGCTTGGCCTTGAGGGTAATTTGAGGAAGGAGCAAATGCAAAGACCTGGAAGTGGGGACAATGCTAATGGCAATGAGCATAGTGATTTTAGGAATAGAAAGAATGTCATGTGTCTGGAAAGTACTGAAAGAGGAATGGTGGGAGGTGAGCCAAGTTGAGATTATAGCATAAATACAATTTTACACATATATATTTTTTATTCAATGTTATAATGTAAGAATATTCTTGATTGTGAAAAATGACTTGTAAACATTTTTTAATGGCTGTATTAAAAAAATAATAAAAAAAAGTTTCATCCTGCTTGAAAAAAAAATCATATGAGGTACACTCCTTTTACAGAGATAGTCCCTGCTCAGTCTTCAGGACAAGTCATTGAGGAGAAAGGCAAAAAGCCATGGGAGTTAGGCTACCCCTCTCCTACAGTTATCTTTATTGCCACTTTTGGGTCCCTGTGGTAGAGGCTCAAAGTGGCAAAAACCCCAATGACCAAACCCCAGGGACTGTTGATTATATCCTGTTTCTATCATAGAGTGTCAGCCCCAGAAACTTCTCCCTCTGGCCTTCTTGCTCCTTTCTGTGTATTGCCCATCCATTCTACTCTGATGGTTTGAGGTGAAACAATGTAAAATCTCAGGTGTTCCCTGGTATAGACCACTTCCTTTTACAAGGAACAAGCAATGCTGACAAGGCTCTCTTCCAGAAGGTAGCTCTTCTTTCTCCTCTCCTAGGCTAGCCTTTGGCTTCTGGCTTCTCTGGAAAGCCACAGGACTCTACCAGCTTCTCTCTGCCGACACCTTAGTCTTCAGGCCTTGAGCTACAGGGTCTGCGGAATTCCTGTCCATACTCATGTATCCACTTGTTGGCCACTGGGAGAGAACAGGGAAGAAGAAAACAGTCTCAACAGAGCAGACAGCAGCAACGCTCACCCACAGGATCACGCAAAAGCCACTTACACTCTGTATCCTGGGCAACTCCTTTGCCTCACCCTAGTCTCAGCCCTGCTACAGACTACAAGATGTTGCTATTAGCAAAGATAAATAGCAAAGAAGACACTGTCCCCTAGAAAGAGTCTCTGATAGGTCCTGTCTACTATAGACTAATCTTTAAACCTTAGGTACTAAGGTCACTCACTCTTCATTCATGTATTTCCTTAAAGTCCACCTTCCCCCTGGTGCAATGAAAAATAAGGGATGGCTTCTCTTGGTAATGTCGATCTCAGCAGGAGCATCTCTCATCTACTTTTTTTGTCTTCAGATCTAAGTGCTTTTGGGCCCAAATACGACATGAATACATCTGCTGCTTATTTATCTATTTGTTTCTTCCTTGTTTGACCATCTCTTCATGGGGAGGCACTAGATGGGACACAGGATGGCTTAATGGTTCTTTCCTCGGCTTAGATGACTGGAACTTATGACCGTTTTCCTCATCAGCTGCGCTCAGGAATCAAGGCCTATCTGACCAGGTCAATAAGCTTTCACTGACATCTGCTCTGTGAGAGGATCTCTGACCTTTAAGGCTTCCAATCTGTTGGGGCCAACTAACCTACAATCTGATCATCTCAGAATAAGGTGGCACTATAATGAAGCTTTTGGAATTACAAAGCTATACTATTTTCCATCTACCCCCGTTTCACTTTCCTCTGAACCCCTCACCCATTCTGATGCCTCGAAAGGCAGGCCTTACCCCACTTATCTCCCACCAGGACAGGACAGCCGGCATGAAGTGTGTCACCATCCCCTTCACCACTCCTATGCAGATTCCACCAAAACAGAGCTGCATTCTAAAAACAAAATGGCCCACCCCAGAGAGAGTCAGCCCAGAATTTCAGTCCTTCGGAAGTACATGACAATGACTAAGGACAAACGCATGCACATCGTTAAACATGAAAACTGTCCATGCAGGTTGGGGGCAAAGCATGCACAAAATGGTATAAGTTGCCATTCTCCCATTCATTCATACATGCAGCATTTATTGAGGGCCAATTCTGCTCTCAGAAGCCCACAGTCTTATAGGAGAGACAGACCTAAAAACCGAGCAGGACAAGACAGTGTGGCAAGTGCCAGGAGGAAGGTGAACACGTGCTGTCATCGGATCACTGAGGAGAGGCACTCAGCAAAAACCATAAAGTGGAACAAAAAATTCCTCATACAAGGAAGAACTTAATTCAGATGCTTAACCTTCCTCAGGCACTTACTAATAATACCCCCAGGAAGCAGGCTTTATCATAGTCCCCAATTTACCAGCAGGGAAGTTGAGGCTTTGGAGCTGTGAGTAACGCAACTAAGAAGGAACAAACTCGAGACTCAAACCCAAATGTTTTTTACTTCAAATCCTGGTGTGTCCTTTTTTGCCCTATGCACAGGTTTTTTGTTCCCCCCCTATACAATCCCTATAGACTTAGGTTAACCTTGGCTATTAGAAATAGTCAAAGCCCAACGTAATGAAGAGCTTTCTAGGATACACTGACAAGCGTACACATTCCCAAGTCTCAAAGAGACAACAGTCCCCTGAGTACTCAAAGATTCCTGCATTTACTTAGGCAACACTTAAGATGTACCTGGCACTGTGCTAAGTGTTTTATAGGCATGATGTTATTTATATATCTTCATTTCATTCCCAAATTAGGTAAAGGCTGTGAGGGAGCTTTACTGATCTGAAACTAGAGGAGAATGAATCCTCTTATCACATGGCCCTCCTCTGTGCCTCACCTAATCTCATAGCTCTTATTTCAGTATGTTGTCACTGCCTGTTAACTTCTCTGCGAGCTCTTGGAGGACAAGCACTACAAGTTTTCCTCTGTACCCTCAGTGCTTTCAGCCCTGAATGTTTACTGAATGAATGACTAAGGGGACCTCTTGTTCTGGAAGATCCAATGATCACTAAAATAGGGTTCTTACCTTTGAGGAGTTCTATTGTAATAGAGAAGGCAGACATGTAATCATCTACTTGTAATATAAATAGTCATAAATTTAAAATAAATTTTAAATTTAAAATTTAAAAATAGAGGCACAAGTAACATGTGGTCATCCAAATTAAGGAATTATCTTTGATTTTGAGAAATCACAGAGAGTAATGAAAAGATATTTCATCCCTCCTCCCAGGAATAAGCTTGCAAGCACAGACAGCACGGAAGTTCAGGTATTAGTTCTGCATTCTTATTACCACCATGTGCTGGGACCAGACCTCCACTCACCTTGACCACAGGCACGCTAAAGTTGGCATAGATGAAGGCAGTGGCTCCTCCAGCTTCCACAGAGCTCAGCTACAATGCCAAAGAGCCAGTGTTGAAATAGCCCCTGACTACCCAACTCTACCTTACCTGACATCTGATGTCATTTCTACACAGAATTCTTAACTGTGTTTCCCAGTTTCAAAATACTTATTGAAAGATAACCCCCCAATGTAGGAATTAAGGGAGGCTACTCCCTAGCATATCAGTGTTTGTCTGCAGTGCCATACAAGGACAGCCTTTAGGAAACCCCCTTTCTTTATCCTTCCAGCTAACATCCTTATTGAGGGCTACAATAAGTAGATTCAAAGTTTGAGACCCTCAGGAAGAAATCTAGTTTATATCACAACCCAAGACATATACCCCCAAAATAAAAGTTTCATAAAACATTCTTACTACATGAGATACTCTTTGTTATTTTCCATTTTATTTTATTCTGTTCTAGTTCAGATTTCTTAAATGCTGACCACATCCACTAAATTAATTTCATAGCCCACTAATGGATCATGGCTTACAAAACACTGTTTTTATTACAACTAGTTTTCAAAGTTGTAATTGTAGGAACCTCTGATTGCAGCTTTGGCATGTTTCCCAGACCACTCATCCTACTCTAGATAACCTCAGCTACAGAGTTTCACCACTGGTATATTGTAGAGTTGTAGATGTGTTTTCTTAATATGAAGTTTTTTTTATTGTCAAAAAATATGTTAAAAAATTTTAAATCCAGGAAAATACAAATATTACTTAATCATCAAGAAAAAAGGCACTGTTTACATACTAACTTACATACTAGTAACTGGCATTTATTTATTCAGCACTGACTATATGCTAGACATCATACTTAATCCTTACAGACACATTATCTCACTTATTCCTCACAATCCTATAAGTCAGAATTGTTATTGTTATAATTCATATTTTACAGATGAGGAAACTGAGTCTCAGAGAGATTAAGTACTTTACAAAAGGTCACATCACTCTAGTGACTAAGCCTGATTTGAAATGAGCGACTGCTAACTAGAGTTCCTGCTCACAATCTTTATGCTATACCCTTGAACATTCAGGTTATTTCCAAATATTTACTATTATAAGCAACTCTTAATAAGTCAAATCATTTTTTCATTTTACACAGTTCTCATAAGAACGAGTCTGGACCATTATTGAGTCAACAGTGTATGAGTACATTGAGTATTTTTGATACATACTGCTAAATTATTTTCTCACCAACAGTGTAACATGACAGTGCCAGTCTTACCTTACCCTGTGTATCAGAGCATTTGTGGATTTCACCACATTCACCTATTAGGAGTTAGGACATTGGCACTTGTTAGAAGAAACTGAATTGACATGATGATTCAGAACCTAGAAATGGCAGTGGTGACTTTTTGGCATTTCTTGGCTCCCCCTGTAGCCCCTTGGGAAAGTCAGTGAGAGCAACAATTTGCTCCTGTGTTCAAGTAACTAACAGGATAAATCTGTTCTAAACCCTGTTGTCAGCAGCTGGGTATAAGAAAGATATACAGGGAGAATCTGCACTTTCCTGTGTTCCTTTACCTGTGGTTTTGGAGTATGGGGAGAAGGAATGACTTAACAAACAAATTGAAAAGAGAATATGACCTGTGTGCTCTGAAGATCCTGAGTAGGACTGTAAGATGAGTGGAGTGGAAGTAAACATTCTACCGTTTTGTACTGGGACTGATCTTATCTCCAGGTGGAACAAAAAATTACTAATTTGATTTCAGCTCAGTCCTCTACATATCTTATAGACTATTTTTTCCCTACAATATTACTCTCAGATTCTCCATAAACCTTAATGTTTGTTATTAGAAACGTTTATAACCGTTTTTACCCCAACCTGAAGATGAAAGAATTGGGATAACCTAGCACTTACTAGGTACCACGATGCCAGTGCCCCCTTTAAGGGGTCCTATACCTGCTTGTGGGATGCAGTGATTGAAACCTATTGGATAAAACCTTACAGAGTGACATCCCCTTACATTATCTTATCAGATCCTCCTGACAACCCTTTGAGGAGGCACAGGACAAGAAAACAAGTTCAAAGAATTGATGTGATTTGTGCTGAGGCCACATATTAAGTGGCAGAATTGGAATTAGGCCAACTAACTTTAAGTGCATCCCATTCCACTGTCACAAATGCTTATAACTTAAATGTACATGCACACATGTGTATATACTCACCCCTCTCTACACTTACTCACTCACTTACTTACATACACACACTTGCATTTTGCCATTTAAAATTGCAGGGCTCTTGTGTCCACGCTACCCTTATCATAGTAACTGGGCCTCGGTAACCAGGGAACCAGCGGTAGGAGATATTAGGAAGGTACAGAACAGAGAGACACTGGCCCTCAGATGTCCTATTCTTTGGTTGATACCAATATTCTTCACTGCCTGTGACTTCCCATGCCATCTCGAGTCATCAACCAGAGATGCAACCAGCTGCTGATGTAAAACATTCTCCCTGCCTGAAGAGCTGACATGCCTCTACGGCTGATCAGAACACTCAGAATGACCACTAGAGGCCAGACTCTGGAAGTGGGAGCCTTCTGGTTTTGCAGGAAATATAAAACCGAGTCATGTGAAGAACTACGATGGAATCACCAACATTACAGATCATAAAGTGTGGTCTCTGGGGATGCCTGGGAGGCTCAGTTGATTAAGCAACTGCCTTTGGCTCAGGTCATGATCCCAGGTCCTAGGATGGAGCCCTGCATAGGACTCCTTGCTTAGTGGGGAGCCTGCTTCTCCCTCTCCTGCTTCCCCTGCTTGTGCTCTCTCTCTCTCTCTCTCTCTCTCTGTCAAATGAATAAATAAAATCTTTTTTAAAAAATGTGGTCTCTGGTTGTCTTTTCTTGGCTACACTGTGGAGACCACACAGCAGTGAGAAAAGAGGGAATGCTGGAAGGGGCAGAGGGTGGGTGGGTGGTGTGCTATTCTAATGAGCCTGAAACCAGCACTTCAACTTTGGATGTTATGTAGAGCTCTTCTATTAACATGTTTATCCCTTCAGTTAACAGTAATACTCCTCTTACAATTTAAGTGACAGATGACTGAAATATGACTGGTCCATAGAGAATGAAGTAAACCCACATGATCTGCAGGGAAGGGGTTAGGTGAGATAATAGCCACTAGGTTCGGGGCACCTGGGTGGCTCAGTCTGTTAAGCATCTACCTTCTGCCTGGGTTGTGATCCCAGGATCCTGGGATAGAGCCCCATGTGGGCTTTCTGCTCAGTGGGGAGTCTGCTTCTCCCTCCCTCTGCTACTCCCCCTGCTTGTGCTTGCTCTCTCTCTCTGTCGAATAAATAAAAAATCTTTTAAAAAAATAGCCACTAGGTTCAATTCCTAGAGTCAGGTCAGAAATTAGGAGAGGAAGCCAATTTATTTAAGGGGGTATCATGCAGATTTTCCAGCAGATTATATGGGAAGATAGGAAAGAGAGTTTTCATGACATATAAGACAGCAACATTGGGGTACCCCGGTGGCGCAGCGGTTTAGCGTGATCCTGGAGACCCTGGATCGAGTCCCATGTCAGGCTCTCTGCATGGAGCCTGCTTCTCCCTCTGCCTGTGTCTCTGGCTCTCTCTCTCTCTGTCTCTATGAATAAATAAATAAAATCTTTAAAAAAAAAAAAACAGCAACATTTACTGAATTTCTCAGTAGACCTCTCTATTCTCTCCTGTAATCTTAGCTGTCTCATTTCTCTTTCCTCTTTCCCCTCATGACTCCACAACCTTGTCTATGGGTCCGTGCTTTCCAACACTAACTAGTCAATGGGGCCTCAAAGAAAGACTCTCTCCCATCCTCTTCCTGTGTAGGTCAGGTCCCAGGTTTCTCCTAATTCCCATCCTAATCACTGCCTATGATAACATATTTAAGTCTATGTGCAGTAAGCTCTCTGTGGGCAAAAGAGAACTCTTGACTCTTATTTCTTTATCTCCTATAGTGCCTAAAAAAGATGCTGTCTGAAAGTCACAAAAGTCTCAGATTTTTGAGCTGTATCAGATAAAATCAGTGTCTGATATTGCTTTGAAAACCATAAAATAAAAGCATAAAATAAAATAACTGCTTTTATTAAATCATTAAATAATGTCATTAAATAAGCCCTGGTCCTTCCAAAGCAAGACTCACATAGATCATAAATGTTGCAACTCGGTTCCCAGACTTCATTCTATACAGTGGGCTGGTTGGTGACTGAAACAAAAATAGAACATATCATTATTTTATGCATATGGCACCAAAGTGACAGTCAGGATTCCAACATAATATAGGGAGAAAAATAGGCATGTTGCAGATGGGATATAGCCCTGAGCCATACCTATTTCAGTGTCTACCTTTCCTGACAGGTACTCAGTTTTTTTTCTTTTACTAATTTATTAGATACTCATTTAAGTGAACTGTATACAGTTGATCCTTGAGCAATATGAGTTTGAACTGTGCAGGTCCACTAGTATGCAGATTTTTTCAATAAGTACTGTAAATGTGTTTTCCTTATAATTTTCTTAATAACTTTTTCCTCTAGCTTTATTGTAAAATTACAGTATATAAAACATATATCAAACAAAATATGTTAATCAACTTTATGTTACTGGTAAGGCTTCTAGTCAACAGTAGGCTATCAGTAGTTAAGATTTTGGGGAGTCAAAAGTTATATACAGATTCTTGACTGTGTAAGGGGTTGGCCCGTGTTCAAGAGTCAACTTACTAATCAAACAATTGCTTGTCAGTAGTGAAAGTACTATCTATATGAAGTTAATTTCAGGTTCAGTGAAATAAAGAAATTAGTAGATACACTATTATAGATAATTATTCTATAGGAACACCAAGTCATAAGACTGGAGTTCCCAATTACTTGCTAAAGAGACCTACCTTTGTCACAGAACATTTTAACTGAGACATAATTTACATAATTTTCATATTATAAAACTCACCCACTGTAAGAGTATTTTTCAGTGAGTTTTAGTAAATTTTAACAGTTGTGCAGCGCTCCTACAATCCAATTTTAGAACACTTGCCTCAGCTTAAAAAGTTTCCTCATGTCAGTCTGTGGTCAGTTGCTATCCTACCCTCAACCCTGGACAACCACTGATGTGCTTCCTGTCTCTATAGTCTTGCCTTTTCTAGAAGTTTCATATAAATAGAATCATAAAATATGTAGTCTTTTTTTGTTTGGCTTCTCTGACTTAGCATAGAGTTTTAATGGTTCATCTGTATTGTTGGATGTATTAATAGTAGTTCATTCCTTTTTATTGCTGAGTAGTATTCCATTGTGTAGATAAAGAAAATTTTGTTTATCCATTCACCTATTGATGAGCACTTGGGTTGTTTATAATTCTTAGCTATTACCAATAAATCTGTTATAAACATTCTTGTACAAGTGTTTATATGGATATATATTTCTTTTTCTCTTGGGTAAAATACTTAGCAGTGAAATGGCTGCATCATATGTAGGTGTATATTTAACTTTTTAAGAACCTGCCAAACAGGAGCCCCTAGGTGGCTCAGTTGGTTAAGCTTCTGCCTTTGGCTCAGGTCCCGATCTCAGGGTCCTGGGACTGAGCCTGTCAGGCTCCCTGCTCAGTGGGGAGTCTGCTTCTCCCTTTCCCTCTGCAGCTCCACCCCACTCATGCTCTCTCTCTCTCTCTCAGATGAATAAAATCTTAAAAAAAAAAAAAAAGAAAAGAAAAGAAACTGCCAAGTTATTTTCCAAAGCGGCTGTACCATTTCACATTCTCAATTAGCAGTGCCTGAAAGTTTGGGTTCTTCTACATCTCCATCAACACTTGATATGATCTTTTTTATTTTAGCCACTGTAATAGAAATATGGTGCTATTTCGTGGTTTTAATTTCTGTTTCCCTAATGACATTGAGCATGTTTTCATGTGCTTATTACCCATTCATTTATCTTATTTGGTGAAGTACCCATTTAAATAATATATTTCATTCTTTTTTTTAAGATTTTTAAAAAGATTTTATTTATTCATGAGAGACACAGAAAGAGGGGCAGAGACATAGGCAAAGGGAGAAGCAGGCTTCCTGTGAGGAGCCTGATGTGGGACTCAATTCCAGGGCTTGGGATCACTTAAGCCAAAGGCAAATGCTCAACCACTGAGCCACCCAGGTGCCCCTATTTCATTATTCAAAATAGTAATTCAAATAAACTCATTTTTAAAAATTGAGTTATGGGGTGCCTGGCTGGCTCAGTAGATAAGGCACACAATGCTTGATCTCGAGCTTGTGAAATCAAGCCACACATTGGGCATACAGCCTACTTGATAGATAGATAGATAGATAGATAGATAGATAGATAGATAGATAGATAGATAGATAGATAAAAAATATTTTTTAAAAAAAGATTTTATCTATTTATTTATTTGAGAGAGAGAGCTTAAGCAGGGGGAGGGGCTAAGGGAGAGGGACAAGCAGACTCCCTGCTAAGTGCAGAGTCAACTACCCAGGGCTCAATCCTAGAACCTGAGATCACTACTTGAGCTGAAGTCAGACATTTAACCAGCTGAGCCACCCAGGGGCCCCTGAGTTGTCTTATTATTGAATTAAAAGTTTTTTTATATATTTTGAATACAAGTCCTTGGTCAGATACAGGATTTCCAAATGTTTTCTCCTAGTAAGTGGCTTGTCTTCATTTTCTAATGGTGTTTTTGAAAGGCAAATGATTTTAATTTTGATGAAATCCAATTTTATCATTTTTATTTTATGGATTGTGCTGTGTTAATTTTTGTATATGATGTGAGGTAAGGGTCTAAAGTTGTTGTTTTGCAAGTGGATATACAATTGTCCCACCACCATTTGTTGAAAAGAGTATCTTTTCCTAATTGAATTTCCTTGGCACCTTTGTCAAAAATCAAATGACCATAATAAATGTGTGAGTTTATTTCTGGACTTTGTTCTGTTCCACTGACCTATGTGTCTGTCCTTCTATCAAGACCACACAGCTCTGATTACTGTAGCTCTATATTACATTTTGATATCAAGTAGTGTGTATCCTCCAACTTTGTTCTTTTTCAAAATTTTGGCTGTCCTAAGTCCTTTGTATTTCTGTATATATTTTAGGATCAGCTTATTAATTTCTTTTCTTTTTAAGATTTTATTTATTTATTCATGATAGACATAAAGAGAGAGAGAGGTAGAGACACAGGCAGAGGGAGAAGCAGGCTCCATGCCGGGAGCCCGACGCGGGACTTGATCCCGGACTACTAGGATCGCACCCTGGGCTAAAGGCAGGCGCTAAACCACTGAGCCACCCAGGGATCCCCCAGCTTATTAATTTCTATAAAAATAAGCTTCCTATAATTTTGATAAAGTTGGGTTGGATCTATAGATCAACTCTGGGGAAATCTTTTATCCTCAAATATTATTTGTTGAGGAATACCTGGATGGCTCAGCAGTTGAGCGTCTGCCTTCTGCTCAGGGCATGATCCTGGGTCCCAGGATCAAGTCCCATATCAGGATACCTGTGTAGAGCCTGCTTCTCCCTCTACCTGTGTCTCTGCCTCTCTCTGTGTGTCTCTCATGAATAAATAAATGAAATCTAAAAAAAAAAATTATTTGCTGAATACACATCAGCAAAGATGGGCAGTTTAGATCATGAGAAAAGGAAAATGACAATCTTCACTGAGAAATCCCAGAGAGAAGTGAGACAGAAGACACCATGACAGGGCACATTTTTCTCCCCACTAGCAAATTTTGGAAAGGGGAATGGTGGCCCAAAAAGAAATGAGTCAGCAGCACTCAGCTTAAAACCAAGGCTTTCAGACCTTCCTGGAACAAGAGGCTTCGTTCTAAGATTTCACTTGGTATTCCCTGAGAGCATTATAAAGGCTCTGCCTCAGAGAAATAAATAATACCCTGGTTCCCTAACCCAGGAGATTGATCATTGACCCTGTAGTTACCGTAGCATGGTCAAAGTGAGGCTCATAGTGACCACCAATTCCGTAATTCACCACCTGGAGATACTCTGCGTAGGGCGGCTGGACATCAAGGCCTGTAAGAGCACCAATGCGGTGGTCAAGGGTCACCAGCAGAGGGTCAACCGTGTCCTTCAGCCAGGCACTAAAACACACCACAAGTTGTAGCATCAATGATCTGATGATGCCAGTATGACTGTGTCTGAATGGATGAGTTGTATCAATTGCAGGAAGGAAGGAAGGAAGGAAGGAAGGAAGGAAGGAAGGAAGGAAGGAAGGAAGGAAGGAAGGAAGGAAGCCTAAAGACACACATAAGCAGACACATAGGTGTAACAATACACAGTATGTACCCATGTGGAAGCATTTGGTCTATGAAAGAAGTGATGGGAGACAAGGCTGGAGAAGTAAGTTCAGGACACGCTATAAAAACCTAAGGATGCCATGGTCATAAAACTGATCTTTGTGGGTGTTAAATACTCAGTGAAGGTTGGTGGGCAGGAAAGTGATTTGGTGACTAAGTTCACTGGAGACCTTTGAAGGACAAGCTCCAGTGAAGTTGTGAAGACAGAACCAATATTTGAAGGGGTGCAGAGTTATGGCAGGGAAAAAAGAGGCAGTGAGGGTCTCAAATTCTTTACCTGAAAAGTAAAGAGAATACACCTACTCCCTTAAAAGCAATGAATCTAAGTAGAAGGTCAAATTTTCTCTTTGACACTACAATGTCAGAAAGGTTAGAAAAGCAATGAAGTAAGGCCATATAGACCTTCCGAAGTTTAGAGAATAGCTCCTAGTATGAAAGGTCCCTAAATATACCAGACCAAAGAAGTTAAACCAAATGATTCCAAATCAAAGCTTTCACTATTCACTTTACTTCCCAGGCAACAAACTATCCACTCATCCTGAGTTCTGGCCTCTCCCCAAGTTTGTCACTGTCTCCCATGGCTCCGATGGGGATCATCCTCTTACTGATCATAAGTCCTGTCTTTACAGTACAAATCAAGGGCTGCAGGGGGGTGAGGGCAGGGGTTGAGGGGAGAGGAGAAAGCTGGGCTCTCTCAGCTGAATCTGCCTCTCTAGAAGCCATCAGGTCCAGAGATTCTGGCCACCATCCTTCTTGCCTGAATGTTGGCAAGTCATGCTTTGAATATGAGTCAGGAGACAGGAATGGAACCTCATAAAGTCAAACTCCAAATGGGAACAGGAATGAATTCTCTGGAAAAGCAATCCTGGTTAGGAGGACATCTACACACTTATTTTCTGGTTTCCAGCATAGAAACTTTGTCAAGTCTTTCCCTAAGGGCCTCCTAGTAAGTTCTGAGAGCCTGTAACAACCTGTGAAAGGCCCTTGGGTAAGAGGAGTAGAAATTTCTCCCTCTCAACAAGAATGTAGGGATATAAACATGAACTAAGGGTTCACTAGCAGCATTTCTGGGTGACCGTTGCTGATCATCCGTCAGTCAGCTATACCACCTGTCCAAGGGCAAGCAGCAAGTATGACCAGAGTCCCTGCCAAGGAAGGACCCCTCTTACCTTTGGCTGATGCGGTACTCCACTGGCAACTGCTTCTCTCCTGATGCCACCACAGATCTCTGTAGCTGATATGGTAGAAGTAAGAGAAAATACAAGTTATGATGTGAAGGGAAGGACTCTGTTTTCATAGACATGCCCCTCTCTTCAATGTAAACCTAACAATTGCCAGTTCCTCCCTAATTTAAAATATTTTGCACATGCTACTAATTTAGTGACAGCCCTCGATCTCAAAAACAAAATAAAGTGACCAAAAAATCTAAGTTCAAAATAACCTTTAGGGTCATGTCTGGTAGACAGTAAGCACTCAATAAAAGTTTGTTGAACTGAAATAGAGTGATACCCTTTTGCCTCTGAGATTGTGAATACTGTCAGAATAAGGGCTGTTTCTCACTATCTTTGTATCCTAGTGGCACAGGATCTGGCCTATGGGAAGCACTTAGTGTTTGTCGTATTAAATGAACACCTCCAATGAGGAAACTCTCCATCCTCAGAGGTAGCCTGCTCCCCTTAAACAATTCCAACAAAGCCCTTCCTTTTTTTTTTTTTTTTTAGATTTTATTTATTCATTAATGAGAGACACAGAGAGAGAGAGCGAGCATGAGCGGCAGAGGGAGAAGCAGGCTCCATGCAGGGAGCCCAACGTGGGACTCAATCCTGGGTCTCCAGGATCAGGCCCTGGGCTGAAGGCAGCGCTAAACTGCTGAGCCACCGGGGCTGCCCAACAAAGCCCTTCCTTACAAAAAATCAAAATCTGTTTTGCTGCAGCCGCCTTGATTATGTGGGGGGAGGGGGGTAAACCCCAAACAGGCTCAAGGTCACTAATTTAACTAAATGTTTCTATTTTGTTCTGAATGTCTAGATATAAATTTTAAGTTATTTTTAAATAAAGTGGCTTCTAACTGTAAAAGCACTGTACTGGGGATGGAAAGAGAAAGATTTACATAAGGATGTGTCTACTTCTGCATCTGTCAGAATGTCAGCTCTATGAGGGCCAGTTTTTTGTCAGTGCTGTGTCCCTCAAGTCCAGAGAAGGCTTAGCAGGGAGTAGGTAGGTGGTCAATACTGGTGAAAGGAATGAATGAATGAATGAATGAATGAATGAACCAGAGTCCTATGCTTAATGACCCAGCCCTGGCATTTCACATGCAGTCAGAGCAGAGCACGGAGCAATGAACTACACAAATTCTCTTTCTTGGAGGCTTCTATAGTATTATCATTCCTGCTACTAAACCAGGTAGACAACTTTGGAAGTATTATGCTGACTGAAGTAAGTCAATCGGAGAAGGACAAACAGTGTATGTTCTCATTCATTTGGGGAATATGAATAATAGTGAAGGGGAATATAAGGGAAGGGAGAAGAAATGTGTGGGAAATATCAGAAAGGGAGACAGAACATAAAGACTTCTAACTCTGGGAAATGAACTAGGGGTGGTGGAAGGGGAGGAGGGCGGGGGGTGGGGGTGAATGGGTGACGGGCACGGAGGGGGACACTTGACGGGATGAGCACTGGGTGTTATTCTGTATGTTGGTAAATTGAACACCAATAAAAATTAATTTATTAAAAAAAAAAAAAAGGAAATTTCAGTCTCAGTTTCCTTGAACCCATTTCCCCAGCTATAAAATGGGGCATGTGAGCAACACCTTCTTGGGAGTTCCTTTCAGCCTATCCTGAAATTACTGACTGAAAATGCCTCTCTCTAGTCCTTCACCCAGCATCCTCCCCTGAGCCCCTTCTAGAGGAGAGAGGAGAGACTCTTAGAGGAGTTGCTGCCTTATGCCTTCTGGGGTAACATCAAATCCTAGGGAATCTCCATTCCAGTCCCCTCCCCATTAAGGAACCACCTTGCATTTAATTCCTTTAACAATTATTTGTTGTACACCAGCAAGTCATTCACTTTTGGGGACAAATATTTATTGGCTGTTCTCTGTGCTGAGCACCATACTAGGGACTGGAAATTCAACACACGGAGCAGATATAAGTCCTGCAATGGGACCATCATGGACAAGCACAGGGCACTAAGAAAATATTAAGAAGGAGCATCTAGTCCCTTATGAGGGACAGGAAGGCTTCTCAGGATACCCAAGAGACAACTGGAATCATACAGGTGAAAAGAGGCCAAGGAGAGAGTGATTAGGCAGGGAGAAGGGTGTACACAGAGGGAAGAGTATCCACAGAGGTCAGGGGGAGCATGTCCCGTTCATGCAGATGCAAGTTATTTAGCGTGGCTGGGGTGTCAAGTGCAGGGTCACACACTGTGGAGGGGCCAGCAGCAAGCCAAGGAGCTTCATAACATTAAAGCGACCCATTAAAGAGTTTAAGCAAGGGCTTGATGTGGTCAGATGCAATCTTTTAACAGTTACTCTGGCAGTAATGGGTATAATACAGGGCTAGGCATTTCGAGAAGCATGGCATATGATCCCTCCTAGATTACAGTCTAATAGAGGAGACAGGATGCTAACACTTGAACCAGCTAGTGATACTAGACAACACAAAAATCGCAGAATAAATGAAAAAAATTAAGTACCAGACAACTGGTGACTTTCAGAAAATGAGTTCAAATAAGAGAGAGGTTATTATACGTGGCTCCAAAAAGTGCTCTGAAAAAAAATGTTCCTACTGAAAGAACCCATGAAAGTGGCCCAGAGTGACAGGGCTAGTAGGCAAAGGGAGGCATGTGGCTTCAACTCAGTCTTCAAGAATGGGTAGGATGTGGATAGAGGGAGAAGTGGCAACAGGGCAGTGTTTGTGAATGGGAAGCTGATGAATCAAATTCAAGCCTCAGGAGAGGCTTCAGTGGCTTGTTTGAATTTAGGTTCCATGCAGCAGCCCCACCCTAAAAGCTGAGGCTTATTCCTGGCAGAGCTGAAGACCAGACAAGGATCAGCGTCTCTACATCAGCTTCTGGAAGAGGGAGAGTGGCAAAGTCTTTGCATGCCAAGTAAACGACCTGGCCGTGAAGGACTGCCGGGTGGGCTCCCTGTCCTGCTACCATGACAACAGAGTTGTTCTAAGGAAAAAGTAGTTGGTGGCCAAATATTATCACTGGCTCACTGAGACGCCAAAGCTATTGAAGATACTTTGTCCAATTGACCAGTGGAGCTTAATGCTCTCAAAAATTGCACAAAGAGGGGGAGCCCGGGTGGCTCAGCGGTTTAGCGCCACCTTCAGTCCAGGGCGTGATCCTGGGGTCCGGGGATCGAGTCCCACATCAGGCTCCCTGCATGGAGCCTGCTTTTCCCTCTGCCTGTGTCTCTGCCTCTCTCTCTCTGTGTGTGTGTCTCTCATGAGTAAATAAAGAAAATCTTTTTTAAAAAAAATGCACAAAGATTCCAGACTTCACTGGAGGGGCTTCTGGATGAGATGATTATTGCTTCTCTAATCCCTCCAATCCATGTGTGCTGTCAGAATCTTCCTTAAAACTAACAGGCCTGATAATGCCAATCTCCTGTTTAAACTGTCCAAGAGCTCTCCCCCTGTGGGATAAAATCCAAGCTCCCCAGCATGGTATTTATAGCACTTCCTGATGGTGTCTCACATCTAACCTCATCTCCGATCACTTCCCACCCCATCACTTGCACACTTGAGCCACCAAGCCTCCACCCCATATGTGGGGCCATTACACATATTGTTTTATCTTCCTGCAATACCCTATGCCACCTTGTTGCTCTGATGAATTTCATATCCACAGGGAAGCCACCTCTGTTTTTCCCTCCCATCTGCTCTTCACCCATCTGCCTTTTCTCCCTCACAGGAAGGTTCACTTTTTGATGCCACCACAGCATGGCTCCCTGCACACACCTCTATTACAGTGTTGCCCATCACAATGCAGTACAAATGTCTGTTTTCCCCCATTATGCTATGAGCTCCTAAAGGGGAAGGGCCAATAGTAAATCTCTGTGAATGTCCCGCCCCTGGTACAATGTCTGGCCCACAGCAGGCTCTGTTCTGTTGAAAGTGACCAAATCATGGCCTGGATGAGCAGCATACCATCAAGGTCATGATGACATAAGTAATTCTGAGACAGCCATTTAAAGAGGCAATGTGCTTATCACAAAGAGGTAAACTGTGTTATTTTTCTAAATAGTTGCCACACTTCCTGGGGGAGGATAAATGTCCTCTCCCATTGGCATCACAACTGGAAGCCCCTTCCCAGCAGAAGGATTAGACACACTCTTCCCGTTGACTGCGGTGATGGCCTCATGCTTTGCCTTAGCCAGTGAAACAGGGACAGGAGCAGAAGCTTTAAGAGCCAACTCGTAGTTTGCCATCTCTGTCTTTTTTTTCTCCTAGAGGACTGGAAATGTCCCAAACGTAGGCAGCTTTGTCAGGCTGATTCTCAAAATGAAGACAGTTTTGCCTCACAGCTGCAGCCAGCCTAAGACAGACACTAATGTAAGTAAGAAACAAATCTTTGTTGTAGCTGTGTCTGAGATTTGGGGGCTATTTGTTGCTGGACATAATTTAGCCTAAGTTAGCTAATACAAGAGGGCAGAATAACAGAGCACCCATCAATGTACCAATAAGTTCCAGGTCCGGCTCTAGCTACATATGTGACCTTCATCAAGTCTCTTCCCCTCTCTGGGCCTCAGTTTCCTCTTTAACAAAATAATCTAGTTAAAGTAGATAATCTTTCCACTCTGAAATTCTGTAAATCTGCACTAGAAAATCACTCCTAGTCCATTTTTTCCACCCTTTAAAAAAAATTTTTTTTCTACCCATCATGTGGAATGATTGACATTGCAGGGGAGGGGGCTTTTTTATGTTTTTTTAGGTTAAATTTACATATATGATATGCGCAGATCTCAAGTGTACCACTTGCTGAATTTTAACAAGTGCACACAGCAGTGTACTCCATGTCCCTAACAAGATATGGAGAGCACATTTTCAACACCCCAGAAAAATGCCTTTGTTGCTTTCCCCAGCGAATCCCCTCCTTCCAGAAGCAACGACTACTGTGATTTTTTTCACCATTTATTTGTTTGATGGAACAGTCGGCATTTTGAATTCCTGGCCTGCTAAAGTGTGTAGTTGTTCAGGCTGCCTGTTCTCACATTCCTGAACCCCAGGCATGTGATGACACAAAGAGAAGTTCTTGGCAGGCTTTAGGGACACTCACCCACGGTTCTGCAAGCCCTCTAATTTTCTGAGCCTCCACGTCATTGACAAAGTCATGGTAGAGAACAACATAGGGTTCCAGGTGGATGACCTCCTTCCGGACAGGCTGGAGCAGCAGGTAGGGGCTCGAATTTGTCTCATAGGAGCAGTAAAGGCTAGGGATCTGGTAGTGAGTAGGCTGGAAGGAAAGCCTAGAATCAGCATAAGAGGTGAATGGTCGAGCAGAAGCCAATGTAGGGAACTACGGCACACACACAAAAAAAAAAAACTGGCATGCAGGAGATTCAGAATGTGGTCACTCTGATACTGTCCAAATAACCTGTTTTGTTGTTGTTTTTTTTTCTAATGCATCAGCCTTTCCCCCCTCACATCATTCCAATTCTACCTTCTGTTTCTCTAGCTTGTTCCCCCTTTCTCTTTCCCTGAGGAATCCTACCTGGGATCCCAGAGTCTGACATAACCCCTCATAGGTGTCTCTGGTCTGCAGGTGGGGTACATTGGGCCTCTGGATGACAGCCTCAGCTACCACCTGATTGGGGCTTTCAGCCAAAAGCTTTTCATATTTCAACACATTTCTGGCCATCCTCTTATTATCTGGACCTAGAAGAAATCAGAGCAGGGATAATACAGATTAACAAGCAATGGTTTCAGGGAGGGCTGCCAAGGTTTCCTAAAGCTTCCCTGTCACACATGACCAGCAACTGGACACCCTGAAAAGCTCCTGTGTCCATGCACCGGAGGATGTAAGGCCCTCACTCTCAGAAAAGCACCTGGTATTAAAAAAAGATTGAGTTAGGCCCAGTAGATCTGAGGGTACAAAGGACTTTGGGAAGGAAAGTGGTATTTAACACTATTAGAACAGGGATCATGGGGATCCCTGGGTGGCTCAATGATTTAGCACTTGCCTTTGGCCTAGGGTGTGATCCTGAAGTCCCAGGATCAACCTCTGCCTATGCCTCTGCCTCTCTCTCTCTGTGTGTGTCTCTCATGAATAAAGAAATAAATAAAATCTTAAAAAAAACAAACAAACAAACAAGGGATCGTAAGGATGGCAGGAGGAAAGTATGATGGTAAGTTTTACATAATGAGAAAAAAGCTTTACTCATTCCTTCCTTCATTCATTCACTCATTCATTTACCCATTCAAAAAATCTTCAGTGAACATCTACCATGTACTGGATACTGTGCTAGAGGCTAATCTCTCAGAGTCTAGAGCCTAATAGAGAAAAGCTACATTAAATAACTACTCACAATGAAACCCAAAAATGCCATGAAAAAGAAAAGCAGGCAGACCCAATCTATTCTTCCCTGGAGCAGTGAAAGCTAATCCATTCCCAAATCTAATAGAGCCTTCAAAATTCCTAACTGGCCTACATACAGAGCAGAGCAGTATGAGACAAATTGGTTCTAGATTTTGTTTCTAGCTTGGGTTCCCATAGGGGTCTGATGTCTTATTTGTGCCCACCAATTGGTGCCCACTTTGGCTGTTAGACGCCCATGGGCTGGCAGCTACCCATGGCCTGCTAGTCTCTGTGCATGATTTTCATTGCCTCTCAGAAGGACGTGCTGAATTGTTCTAATGCTGCCAATGCATCTTTCTCTAAGAAGCTCAGTGTGCCTCTAACTACCACCACAACCACTCTGGTGAAAGATGAGACATAAGTTACCCTTTTTTTTTTTTAACAAGAGGAGAAATGAAGTTTGGGAGAATGGAAATGATGAGCCCAAAACCCCAGTGAAAAGACTGCAAAGCCAGAAATATAACTGGTAATCTCAATTTGCTGTGTCCCACTTCTCCACCTATAACTGCATAGTTTGAGTTCTCTGGGATGGGCAGATTTTAACAGAGCAAGCATAAAAAATAAAGAAGAGTTGGGTTATAATTTTGCCCAGAGTAATTGCCCACATGTTTCCAGACCATATAGCTACTTCTATATGCTGCTTGCCCAACTATCAGAATGGAATAATGTTATTAAATAGATTCATTAAAAAAGCAATCAGATGTAGTGAAACGACAGGACACCTGCACCCCAATGTTCATAGCAGCAATGTCCACAATAGCCAAACTGTGAAAGGAGCCATGATATCCTTCAACAGATGAATGGATAAAGAAGATGTGATATATATACACACAAAGGAATATTACTTAGCCATCAAAAAGGACAAATACCCACCACTTGCTTCGCCATGGATGGGACTGGAGAGTATTATGCTGAGTGAAATAAGTCAATCAGAGAAGGGCAATCATCATATGGTTATACTCATGTGGAATATAAGAAATAGTGAGAAGAACCATAATGGAAAGGAGGGAAACTAGGTGGGGAAAAATTAGAGAGGAAGATAAACCATGAGAGACTCCTGACTCTGGGAAACAAACAAACGGTTGCAGAAGAGGAGGGTGGGTGGGGGGATGCGGTAACTGGGTGATGGGCATTAAGGAGGGCACTTGGGATGAGCACTGGGTTGTTATACTATATGTTGGCAAATTGAATTTAAATTTTAAAAAAGTAAGCAATACATACAATTATAAAGTCATGTGAAATACTTTATAAATATTAAAATATAATAGTGATTATTTATTTACTTTAGTATCTCAATATCTTATTAAAGGAAAATCTGGGAAGCCAGCTTCCACCAAAATTTTAAGTAAAAATATCCAAGCAAAGAGCTAAGCTTGGAAGTCTCCCTCCCATTGAATTCTGGTGACGCACTGTGTGAGGAGGGTCAAAGCTCAACCCTGCACTCACTGAGCAGGATGCTTGATAGCCAAGTGAGCTCTGGTTTAAAGGGAAGAACTGGTATCTCTGTAGAAACAGCCAAAATAAGTATTCCTGTGGAGTCACTCTTCTTGCACACACAGCTCTCATCTACTTTATTCACTTCCAGTCCTGGATTTGTTCCCCCCGAGACAGCACTAATGTATATCCAGCTGATCGTGGAAGAGGAAAGGGACAGGCTGATACCTTCTTGGCATCATCCCACAAACCAAAACACTTCCCCCGATGCACTGATACATAGATAAGTAAGATTCAATCCAAAAGTCAGAAATGCGGCTTGGATTATAAAATTAGAAGAAAAAAAAAACCACATAGCTGTCTTATCCCTGCAGAGATTAAAGGCCAGGAGCAGAAGGCATTTCCCAGTAAGTCAAAGCTGTGGCTCATCTTCTGTCATTACGTACTATAGAGAAGAAACTCTCGGGAGAGGCTGAGGGCGCAGGAAACATTGCCGGCCTAGAAAACAAAAGAAAGAAAAGGGAAAGTTAACTACACTGAGGATATCTCCTTTGACCAAATCATTAAATGGATTAAAAAAAAAAGAACTATAAAATATTCTTACCACCAGTAGAGAATAAGACTCATTGAAATGAGCAGCAGACTAGAAATGTAGAGGTTCTCGGTCCTAATTCAGGATTTGCAGCCCTAATGCAACTCAGGTCTCCTCAGTGTCCTCATTTACAAATGACTCATTCCCACCCTTACCAGGGAAGGTAGAAAAATAAATGAAAATAAACTTTCTTAAAGTGCCCTCAAATCTTAAAGCATGCAAAACCACAAAACTGCAGGGTGTTGTTATTTCAGTATAATTCATTATTAAACTTAACGTTAAACTATAAAAACCCTAGTAAAAATATAGCCTTGTTTTCCAGGCTCAGTCCTTCCTAGAGTCTACGAAGGTAGCGGGAGGGAGACAAAGGAAGAACTAACCCTGAAACATTCCAACTGCTCAGTAATGACCTCCCTGCCACCATCACTCGACCTTGAACTACATGTAGTCAGAAGCACACAGGGGCTTTCCAGACAAATGAGAATAGAACCCAGTATAGGTGGGCTACCATCCTGCCCTGGGTGCCAAGGAATGATGAAGAACTGATAGAATTGTATTTCCTTCTGGTTGTTTCATTTTTGCATGTTAAAAAATTCACATTTAATGATAAAAGCAACAATAGCACACTATGAGGGCAGCCCAGGTGGCTCAGCGATTTAGCGCTGCCTTCAGCCCAGGGCATGATCCTGGAGACCCGGGATAGTCTCACGTCGGGCTCCCTGCAAGGAGCCTGCTTCCCCCTCTGCCTGTCTCTCTCTTTCTCTCTCTCTCTCTCTCTCTCTCTCTCTCTCTGTCTCTCATGAATAAATAAATAAAATATTTTTAAAAATAAGCATACTATGAAACATGAGAAAGAGGAAAAAAGAAATGCTCTGCTAAAACCCAGGTGCAAAAAAATAAATAAAATAAAACCCAGGTGCTCCAAGAACTTCAGATGACACATAGTGTGTACATAGTTACAGTCATATTTGTTACACATTTTCATATCTTGATTATTTCACTCTACATTGTTATCAGGGGACTTTTTATATCATTTTGTAGTCTTCAGAGACCGTCTATTTTAACTGTGGTAAAAAACACACAACATCGGGGTGCCTGGGTGGTATAGTTAGTTTTAAGTCTCTGACTCTTGGTTTCAGCTCAAGTTGTGATCTCATGGTCGTGAGATTGAGCCCCATGTGGGCCTCTAAGCTCAGCACAGAGTCTGCTTGAAATTCTCTCCATCTTTTTCTGCCCCTCCTGCTTGTGCTTTCTCCCTCTCTCTCTCAAAGTTTTTTTCTTAAACCCACAAAGGAGGGCAGACTGGGTAGCTCAGCAGTTTAGCGCCACCTTCAGCCCAGGGCGTGATCCTGGAGACCCAGGATTGAGTCCCACATCAGGCTCCCTGCATGTAGCCTGCTTCTCCTACTGTCTGTGTCTCTGTCTCCCTCTCTCTCTGTGTCTCTCATGAATAAATAAATAAAATATTTTTTTAATTTTAAAAATAAACCCACAAAGGGGCGCCTGGGTGGCTCAGTTGATGGTCATCTGCCTTTGGCTCAGGTCATGATCCCAGGGTCCTGGGATCAAGCCCCACGTTGGACTCCCTGCTCAGTGGGGAATGTTTCTCCCTCCCTCTGTGTGCTCTCTCTCTCTCTCTTTCTCTCTCTCTCTCTCCCTCTCAAATAAATAAATAATTTTTTTTAAAAAACCACAACATAAATTTACCATCTTAACCATTTCTAAGTGTGCAGTTCAATAATGTTAACTATATTCACACTATTTTCAACCAATCTCCAGAATTTTTCCATCTTGCAAATCTGAAACTCTATACTCAGCAAACAACTCTCAATTGCCCCCTTCCTTCAGTCTCTGGCAACCACCACTCTAGTTTGTCTCTATAAATTTGATTATTCTAGATACTTCATATAATTGCAATCATACAGTATTTGTCTTTTTGTGACTGACTTATTTCATTTACCATAATGTCCCCAAGGTTCATCTATGTTGTAGCATGTCAGAATTCCCTTCTTTTTTAAGGCTGAATACTATTCCCTTGTATGTATAGACCGCATTCTGCTTATCCATTCACTCGTCAGTGGACACTTGGGTTGCTTCCACCTCTTGACTGCTGTGAATAGTGCTACTATGAATGTGGGTATGCAAGAGAAACAGCAATTCTAATAGCTGTGTTTTATTCCACCTAGAAGCTACATCACAGATGACCTGGTCATATAGATTGTTAGCACTTATTTAATACCATTAATTATTATGTGCCATACTTAATAGACGGATAGTTAAGTAATCTATTGATATCTTCTAATGTCAGATTATTAACTCAGGATTATTGCTTTTCAAACTCTTTTGAGATGAAGAGAACTAAAGTACAAGTTTACATATTTTTCAAACTCAAGGGCTCTTCCATGAGATAAAATTACATTTTATCAAGAAGAAAGTTACTGGAACGCCTGGGTAGCTCAGTGGTTGGGCGCCTGTGTTCGGCTCAGGTCGTGATCCTAGGATCAGAGATCGAGTCCCACCCACATCAGGCTCCCTGTGAGGAGCCTACTTCTCCCTCTTCCTGTCTCTGCCTCTCTCTCTCAGTCTGTGTTTCTCATGAATAAATAAATAAATCTCTAAAAAGAAAAAAAAAAGAACAAAATTACTTTTGGTGTCCCAGTTAAGTGCCTTTGGAAATATATACACTAAATAATGTTAAATGAGAAAGGGAAATGTTTTCTTGTAGTGTATAATATTAATAGTTTATGTTTGTGGAGTACACATATGTCATGATCTGTGTTAAGGGCTTTACACAGATTGGCTCATTTGATCATTATGACAACTCTTTGAGGTGAGCATTGAAGGGGAGCAGAATAGAACAAAATATGCCTCTTCGGCATAAGGATTATTTTGAGCTAATTATTTTGAGAAATGGCAGACTCAATAGAAGTTCTGAAAACCAGAGAAGTTACCCTTTTGTGAGAGAAATTTACATCTATAAAGGAACCCTCCATTTGTAAGAGTGTCTCTCTCTGTGTATCTAGAAAAGGAGGATGATTCTGAATCACAAGAGAATCTTGTTTTTAAAGGTATATTTATTTATTTGAGAGAGAGCATGCGCGCCGAGTGAGGGGGATGGACAGAGGGAGATGGACAGAATCTCAAGCAGACTCTGCGTTCAGTGTGGAGTCTGGCACAAGGCTTGATCTTACAATCTTGAGATCACCACCCAAGGTGAAACCAAGAGTTAGACCCTTAACCAACTACAACTCCCAGACGCCCCCTGAATCACAAGAGAATCTTATCAATGGAGAAAGCTCACTTAAATCTGCATAACAACATTACCCTTGCTTTTCCTGGTAACCCCCCAAAATTGGCCTTCCCCCACACCTTTCTTTCTACTGTCTTTAGCTGGAAATGGAATTAAGGTGGCAGCTTAGGTCACCTCAAAGAGTTCCTCATTCCCCAGCCTTATCTCCCATGTATACAGGTATACAGGAGATACACATGTAATAAACTTCTGTTTATTTTTACCCTTGTTAATCTGTTTTTGTATTACAGGGAGGTCTCACCCAAGACCTCAGAAGGTTAGAGAATTATCTCCCCCCACCCCACGCTTCCTAACAGCATCATTATTATTATTCCCCTTTTAAAGATAATAAAACTGAGGTCCAGGGAGGTTAAATAAGTTGCCCAAATTTTCAGAATTTGAACCCAGATCAGTCTGACTTCAGAGCCCGTGGTTTAATCACTACACTACTGTCTCTTTTTAACAATTAGTGAAACAATTTTTCACTAAAATATATCATGAAAATCTACTGTATAATATATAGCATTATATATTCTATAATATTATGTATTATATATTATAATATTTCATGGTATAAATAATTATATATCATATATTTTATATGATAATGAAAGGTCCATGAGGGACATGTATCCTGAATTTACAAGAGTTAAAAAGGGGACCATAGATGTTTATGAGACAATGCCCTAATGTGTTCTATTATTGAAAGGTAAAAGAAAAAAAAAAGTGCTGTAAGAGCACAAAGGAGTCTGAGGAGCCCAAGGAGAATCAAGGCAGACTTCATAAAATAGATGACATTTGAGCTATGCCTTGTGAGATGAATAAAATTTACCAGACAAAGCACAATTGTGGAAAGGGAGAGTTGACAAATGAGCAGAGGAGAAGTCTAAGTCATCATAGGGGAAAAAAAGCCAAAACCGATACTCAGGCACAGCATTTAAAGCTCTGCCTCAGGGTAAACTGCTTTAGTTTACCTTCTCCTAGTCTCCAAGTCAATCCTCCATTTTCTTCCTCTACTAAAATTCAACTACTTCTTGTCCTTTGTTGTACCACAGTGATTCTATTTCAGCTTTAATATGTAGCAACTGAGCAGGAGTATTATGAAGAGCGCCCTGGAAATTTTTACAACAAAGATCCACTTACCAGGAACTTCCATGAGAGGAACAGGCCCATTTGCTATATTGAGAATAAATCTGTTTTGGCAGCAACATATGGGTTTGGACCACCCACATCCTCCTCCCTTTCCCAGGAAAAGGGGGAAAGAGAAAGGAATGTAGGGAGCAGAAATGGTTTATTAGTTTTGGAAACTAAGGAATTGGCTCTGTAAGTGATATTTCCAGCCTATTCTTAAAGACTATACAATTCTGGTGGGAAATGGGATTAGCTATATAAAAGGATGGCAGATCCCATATTTAGGGAAACGAGCTTCCACAAGATGATCTACAATGGCTCATAGATTAAGTGCCAGGGAAAAGCAACCCCTGGAGGAGATAATGAGAAGGTACCATGGACCAGTGACACCAGCTCAATAGCCAGACACTAGTCATAGTTACAGTTGGACTCAATTGCAGATAGGAGAGGATAATGTCGAGGAGGAAGACCTTCCTCTGCCCTATAGTCCTTCTAGCTGGCCATAGAATTAAATTGACATGAGACATATTAACAGGAGAAAACCAAATTTAGTACACATGTGTATAGGGAATCCACATAAAAACAAAATTCCAAAGACAATGAGGCAACATGAAGTTTATGAGCTAAGGAGAGGGATAGAGTCAGAAAACACAAAGGGGGAGAAAAACCATTAGCAAGAAGGTGAAAGGAGATGTTTGGAAAGACAGGGTTGCCTGATTATGCAGATAAATTCCTTAGGTAGAAGAGAGTCTCTCTTAATAGCTCTCTTCCTGTTACAGGTTCTCTTTTTTAATGTAAACTTAGACAGTTGCAGGGAGGCAGAGAGCTTTTCCTGTATCTGCTGGGGTTTGATTACTTTTAACTCAAAATAATCTTTTTGCCAAAGTGGCCCATCTTGGGACAGCCTGCCCAGGGCCCCTACAATAACAATCAAACTTCTTCCTTGGATATTGGCATTATCATGACAGAACATCTGTGAGGAGATATGAGTTGCTGAGAGTGCAAAGAGTGATCTACCTTGACTATGAACCCATAAGACATTTGTCAATGCAGCTGCTGCTCTACAGATGGGAGCCTACAGGGAAGACGATAATTTTAAAGCAGTCAAGGCACTGGAAAGAGCACCAGACAAAAAGTCAGACAAACTTGGGCACTAATCCCAGCTCTATGAACTTCGTGACAAGTTAGGAATTTTTTGGAGATTTAGTTTACTCACATGTGAAATATGGAAATAATAAAACAACTGCCCTGCTTGACTCACATTTGGTCCTGTTGGGAAGATGAAATAAATTGAGAGACATGAAAACGTGTAGAAAATTGTAAAGCAGATATAAAGCACTATATTTACTGTGATAAAAGTAGTGAGCCTCACTTATTCCCCTACCTGAAAATAGGCAAAGGCCAAGTGATCCAAGGCATCCTCTAGACTTGCCTCATCCTCTGTCTTCCAATCTCCGTAAGATCCTCGGAAGAGACTGACAGCCTCCTCCAGCCATGGGATGGCATGGTAGTAATCCCCCATGTCATAGGCCACCTGTAGGTAACATAAGTACCATCATTCAACCTGAATCCACAGGTAGAAGAAAGGAAATGACAAAGAGTGGGAGGGCTTTTGGAATACAAGAAGGCAAGTTTTCATCTCAAATCAATTTAAATTCAATTTATCAAGCATCTGTTATATTCAATGCATTGTTCTAGATGTAGAGAAGATATCTGAAGAATGTCTTAATCTGAGGAATTCATAATCTGAGATATATGAACTCAATTAACTGTAATACTAGGTAGAATGCATAAATACTCAAAGGAAATATGCAAAATATGTCATGGAGGCAGAGAAAGGAGAGACTTGGGAATCTCGCAAGGCTTCATGGAAGAAGTAGCATCTGAGATAGGTCTTCCCTGAAGAAAGAAGAGGATTTCAATGAGCAGAGGTTGAGAGGAAGAACATTTTAAGGTGAGGGAATGGCAGAAACAGAAGCCAAAAGCCATTTTGTGTTCAAGCTGGACACTGTGGTTATAGCCTAAGGTGAAGAGAAGCAGGAAATGAACTTCAAAAGGTACCATAGGCTAAGCTAATAAGAGATGTGAGTGTCATGTTTTTAAGATACTGCTGGAAGCAATGTGAGAAATGGACTGAATTCATTCATTTATTTATTCAATATTTTCTGAGTATTTACAATGAATCTGGTGATCCCTGACCTTAAAGACCTTACAGTCATATGAGAAGCACAAGAGTAAATCAATAATTGCAATACAGTGTATTAGATCCATGTGGGGAATGTTCTAAGAGCTCAGTGACTTTTTTCTGTATTAAATGTTGGAAGGTGGGAATATGGCAACATGTACTAGACCTAGCTCCTGTCTCCTAATAGCTTTACAGTTATCTAGCATACCAGCACTGCAGGTGGAATTTCCTGGAAGTTGATGTTGGAGACAGCATGGAATTACTGTCAGAGAGTTGGAAGCACTCTTACAAAACATTCTAATTCTGCTATAACTTTCAGACCAGCAGAAAAACAGGGCAGAACCTGGAGGTACTGAAACTCTGCAGTCGAAACAGTAAATCAGCTGCTGTTCCAGGCCTGCCATTAATCTGCCATATTATTTCTCTGATCTGCAGGTTTCCTGTTTGTAAAAAGGTTAGGTTGAAGAATAACAATCAAAATGGGGATCCCTGGGTGGCGCAGCGGTTTGGCGCCTGCCTTTGGCCCAGGGCACGATCCTGGAGACCTGGGATCGAATCCCACGTCGGGCTCCCGGTGCATGGAGCCTGCTTCTCCCTCTGCCTATGTCTCTGCCTCTCTCTCTCTCTGTGTGTGACTATCATAAATAAATAAAAAAAAAAAAAATTCAAAATGACTGAACTTTTTCTGCTAAGTTAACAATTTAAGTTTTCCTAAGGCCCAAAAATATGCTAGATTGAGGTAACTGGAATCTTTCCAACCAAAAAGACTTAGAACTTTTGAATAAAATATAACAAATATTTTATGATATACTTTCAAGAAAGGATGGAAAATACTCAGGTACTAGAAACAAAAAAAGGACCTAAAAACCTGAGCAATAAGCTTAAGAGCAGATGCTGAAGCTGCTTAGGATGGGGGCAGGTATTAGTCTTAGTAATCTTGGTACTCAGCAACCTTTGGTTATAATGGCCACGTGAAGACAGAATATGAGCCCTCCTTAGGCCTCCCAAAACCTAGGAATTGGAACAAAGACACACTCATAAAACTGAAATCCATGAAAAACTAAAGTACCTTAAAAGAGAGGGTAGACCAGAAAAAATCTACCCACTGTTAAAAGAGTCAAAAAAGTTGGTTTGGGATCCCTGGGTGGCTCAGAGGTTTGGTGCCTGCCTTTGGCCCAGGGCGCGATCCTGGAGTCCCAGGATCGAGTCCTGCGTCAGGCTCCTGGCATGGAGCTGCTTCTCCCTCCTCCTGTGTCTCTGCCTCTCTCTCTGTCTATCATAAGTAAATAAATAAATATTAAAAAAAAAGTTGGTTTGTTTCTGTCTGGATATTGTCTAGGGAAACAAAATCTCTCCTTAGAATATTCACAATCTTGAGCCTATGCTTCATGTGAGTTTAGGGTTTGAATTTGCATTTTTCATAGAGCTAAGGAAATTCCAAGCCAAAAAATAAATATAATGATGAATCTAAGGTTAGTGTAAATCAAAACCACAGTAAGATATCACCTCTTGCCTGTTAGAGTGACTATTACCAAAGGACAAGAAATAGAGCTGGCAAGGATACAGAAAAATAGTGCTGTGTACTGTTGGTGGGAATGTAAATTGGTACAGCCCATGTGGAAAATAATATGGAGGTTCCTTAAAAAAATAAAAATAGAACTGCCATGTGATCTACTAATTCTACTTCTGGTATTTATCTGAATAAAATGAAAACACTAATTTGAAAAGACATATGCACCCCTATGTTCACTGCCAGCATTATTTACAATAGCCAAGATACAGAAATAACCTGTCTATTGATCTATTGATGGATGAATGGCTAAAGAAAATGTCACACACACACACACACACACACACACACCCCATGGAATATTATTCAGCCATAAAAAAGGACGAAAGTTTGCCATTTGTAACAATATGGATGGACTTTGAGGGTATTATGCTAAGTGAAATAAGTTAGAGAAAGACAAATACCATGTGATCTCACTTATATGTGGAATCTAAAACAAAAAACAAATAATAACAACGAAAACCTGAGCCTAAAGATATAGAGAATAGATGGGTTGCCAGAGGTGGGAAGTAGGGAGTGAGTGAAATGGGTGAAGAGGGTCAAAAGGAACAAACTTCCAGTTATAAAATAAGCCATGCAGATGTAATATATTCAAAAAAAAAAAAAAAAAAAGGACCTAAGGCCAGTGATATTACCAGAGTACCTAGAAGAAGAAAACCCAGAACCTTTGAGGTAATATTCCTACAACTCCAGTCACAGAGATTCTTTTCGAGGGGAAAAAATTCCTGCTAAATAAGCTCACAAACATAATAAACCATATCAGGAAATAATCATTCATGAGCAACTGTCAACAGATATGACAGTAATGTAGTACAATTAGACAACTAAGAATTTCAGAAACTAGAAAGACTGATCTGCTTTAACATAATCCATGGAGGAGGAATTGGAGACATGTAGATGAAATAAATTTGGCCACATGTTAATAATTATTGAAGCTTCTTCTTTGGCCCAGCAACACCACTCCTAGGTATTTATTCAACAGAAATAAAAACAACTGTCCACAGAAAGACTTACACAAGAATGTTAATAGCAGCCTTATTCATAGTAGCCCTGGCTGGAAGCAATCCAAGTATCCATCACTAGGAGACTGGATAAACAGTATGTGGTATATTCATACAATGGAATACTACTAAGCAATAAAAAGAAATGAACTACTAATAAATGCAACAAGGTAGATAAATTTCACAGATGCAGTGTGCAGAAAGAAGCTGGACCCAGGATAGTATGTATATATTGTATGGCTCAGGATAGTTATCAGGCAACCTAGCAAGGGTAGAGTAGAGGGGAGGGGTCAAAGTGGTGAGAAGAAAGAGGAAGGGGGCTTTATTGAGCTATATGTAAATTCATTTTTTAATATTAACTTTGCTGCCTTCTGTTTTATGTCAAATTCCTCTTTAAAAATCTGAAACAAACATTGTAAAATTTTAACACACATTTCATCTATAATTGCTTGTTACATTATTTTATGTAGTTTTCTTATGTTTGAAATGTTTTATCTTTTAAAATAAGTAAATAAATACAGAAATAAAGATTGCCAGTGAGGGTTTCAGGAAGGGACTTACTGAATTTTCAACATATGGTTTGAGTTTCAGAAAAGCCTTGTGAATGAGGCATATATTGGTACCATACACAGAACTATTTAACTGGCTTAAATTTAAATTAGCCATGAACATGATGATTGAGCTCTGATTCCATTCAGGATCTTAGAGAAGGAAAAATGGTACATAGAGGGGCTCAGGGCAATCCACTTTGCACTAATTTGGAAGACTGATCCCCAAAACTTGAAATCAGGGCACATGATGCCCATTCTCAGATCTGCTAATGAATACTGTAGGGGGCTGAGAAAATTCACTCTCCCGCAATACACATCTTCAAAATTAAAAAGGATTTACTACCTTACTTCTTAAGGCAAAAGCTAACAAAGAGTATATTGTAAAATGACCTCAAATGTGCTTATAAGTTATGATCAAAGATCAGTTAAATATCTCATATGGAAGGTTCCTATTTCCTCAAGTAATGTTAAAGTGAATGGCCTCAGCTTTTTGACACTACCTTAATCTAGTATTTCTGAAATACTGCAAGAGATTCCAGAAAGTCTCAGAGGCTGAGTTTTCTGTGACCTTACCTCACATTTCCACCTCTAATCCCTTTCCCTACCCTTGAACTCTGATTCTCCTTTGTACCAAGCTGCTCATCTTCTGGCAGGGTGCTATGGTTAGGAATGACCCCAGGACCATTTTTCCCAGCTCAGTCCCAGTTCATGTCTGTTGTCTAGGTGTAACTAGTAACACTTCCTTCACTCTCAGGTGAAGTATCCTGCATAGGTGATCACCTTAGTTATTATGGAAAGAGCATGGGATTCAGAGTTAAAAGACCCAAGTTCAAAATGTATTTCTACAACTTAAAGTTGTGTAACCTTGGGCAAATTATTTACTGTGTCTGAACTGCAGCTTCTTCATCTGAAAATGGGGAATGATACCAAATTTCCAAGATTGCTGGAAGTACTGAAAGCATGTAAAAGCAATCAGGATAGAGTTATTTCATCTGTGAGAAACTAGAGCTGAGCCCCCTGCATACCCCCACCCCCCGCCCCAATACTGTTACCTTGCCAACTTGGAAGCAGTCGTCTGCTGTAAGGGAGAAGAGCCGCCTGGGACTGTACAGGTCAGTGACGGCTGAGCCAGCAACTCTCTGAAAGACGCCCCGGGCGAGGCCCTTTACGTTGAGCATGTACACATCCTGCAGCCGCATTAGGGCCCTTGCTGCTCCCTCAAGGTCCTCAAAGGCTGGCAGGTCCTGCTCCACCTTCTCATAACCATCCTTCAGAGCTGTAAGGGCAGTAAAAACACCAATCCACTGTTCAAAAACACAGATGGTGAGCATTTAATACATGCAAGGCATGATCACCTATTCCAATATTTCATGAGCAAAGATAATATTTTATGTGTTTTTATTCCCCATGCACAGCTCCTGGAGCAGAGTGGATGCTATATACAATCTTCTGAATGAGGAACATAAGCTCTAGAGTACAAACTAAAGCACACATATGTTGTTCCATCCTGTCTGTTTCTGGAATCTTGCCCTTTGTGAGGACAATTCTTCTTCCTCTTAATTTCCCCAAAGTCAACAAATTTCTTCAAGTACAAAATAGAATAAATTAGGAAACCGACTTTGCTACAGATCACAGTATAGTTTAATAGAAATTATTAGACAAATATGTAAATGGATGATATAAGCTTTACATCTTCACAGGTTGTAGTGAAGATCAAATGAGATAGTGGATTGGAAAGCACTTTTTTTTTTTTTTAAGATTTTATTTTTAAGTAATCTCTACACTTAACGTGGGGCTGGAACTCAAAACCCGAGATCAAAAGGTGCACACTCCACCATCTGAACCAGCCAGGCACCTCAAAAGTGCTTTCTATGTACAGTCTCATAGACATATTAACAAGGGGGCCTAGTTCTTCATAATAGCTAAAGCTAAGAAGATGGAGTAATACCTACCCACTTCATTACCCTTCATCACATTCCACCAGAATCTCTCTCCTTTCCAGAGTCAGGAGATAGAATCTTCTCTTACCCTCCAGCCCTCCTCCTCATTACCTCGGATGTTCTCACTGGCCTCCAGACTATGTACCACATTCCTCCAGTCAGACTGTAGGCGTTTGATGAGAGTAAATGCAAGCAGAGGGTTAGATACAGGGGTTGCCGAATCCTCATGCAAAGAAAGCACCTTGTCATAGAATCTGGAAGAGAGGAGTAGCATGATCTCGATTACTGATATAGCCACTGCCCCTAGCAAAGGTTGGCACGGTATATGTACATTTAGAGTAGTTAAAAATGAAACAAACCCCTTGAGACTCACATAATATTCTAACAATTAGGCACAAAGAACATGAAAACTACCAAGACAACAGAAGTAGGTCCATTCATTCGTTCATTCAATGAATCAGTCTCTACTGGTCAATTACTATAAATCAGGCACCACACTAGATGCTAGAGATACAAAGGCAAGACAAGGTGGAGCTCTCAAGGAGTTCACAAATCAAAAAAAAATCTTTCTTTCTCTTCATCACTCTATAATCAATACTTTGAATCTGATAGAAGCTCAAAAATGTAATAATTGCAATAAATGTGATACCTGCCAGGAAAGAAGTGAGGTTATATGTGAGCTTATAAGTGAGCTATGTAATGTTACAGTCGTTTGTAGGCAGGGCCCCTAACCCAGATGGGAATTAGAAGGTATAATGGAAGACTTTCTGGAGGAAATGGCACTTGTTCTGAGTTCTAAAGGATTAAACAAAGCTACTACTTACTGAGCCTTTACTGACTACCAGGCATCCTGCTAAGTGCTTTATATATTTTTTGTCTCAATTAATCCCTTCAACAACCCTCAGAGTAGATTTTATCACTCCCAGTCTGAAGGGAGAGAAAACTGAACCGAGGCCACACTGTCAGTGAGTGACAAAACCAGATTTGAATCTAAATCTTCTGACTCAAACTTGTTCTCGGGCAGCCCAGGTGGGTCAGCTGTTTAGCGCTGCCTTCAGCCCAGGGCATGATCCTGGAGACCCTGGATAGAGTCCCATGTCGGGCTCCGTGCATGGAGCCTGCTTTTCCCTCTCCCTGTGTCTCTGCCTCTCTCTCTCTGTCTTTCATGAATAAATAAATAAAATAAAATTTAAAAAAAAAAGAACTGGGATCCCTGGGTGGCTCAGCGGTTTGGCACCTGCCTTTGGCCCAGGGCAGGATCCTGGAGTCCCAGTATCAAGTCTCGCTTCGGGCTCCCAGCATGGAGCCTGCTTCTCCCTCTGCCTGTGTCTCTGCCTCTCTCTCTCTCTCTCTCTCTCTCTCTCTCTCTCTCTCTCTGTGTGTGTGTGTGTGTGTGTCTATCATAAATAAATAAATAAATTTTTAAAAAAATAAAAAGAACAGAAAAAAAAGAAACTTGTTCTCAGCTGATTTTGCCATATTGTTTCTCCATGGAGCTAAACAAAAAAAGGACAAAGAAATTTTTTTTTTACTTGCATATAGTTGACTCAGTGTTACATTAGTTTCAGGTGTACATCACATTGGTTCAAAAAATATGGAACACTTCATGAATTCACATGTCATCTCTGTACAGGGGCCATGCTCATCTTCTTTGTATCACAGGAAGAATATTTTTTGAGCCAACAGGGACCAACATATACAAAAGCACAGTGGCTAGACAAATATTTGTTCATCCAACAACTCAGTCTATACTGGTTACTTGCTAGATGTTAGACTCCATGCTACATGCTGGGGATGAGAAGGCAAGACAAGTTCCAATGCTAGAAAATTTCATGAACAAGGGACGCCTGGGTGGCTCAGCGGCTGAGTGTCTGCCTGCTACTCAGGGCGTGATCCCAGAGTAGCAGGATGGAGTCCCACACTGGGCTTCCTGCATGGAGCCTGCTTCTCTCTCTGCCTATGTCTCTGCCTCTCTCTGTGTGTCTCTCATGAACAGATAAAATCTTAAAAAAAAAAGAAAAAGAAAATTCATGAACAAGAAGATAGCTGTTTTTCTCATTGCTCTAAATTCAACACACATTTCTATGAAAGAGTAACTAAAATATACTCTTCTAGGAGCTAGGAACAGAATTTCAAATAAGACGGTAAACTGGGTCTCAAGGACTCATAGACTAATGGGTAAGACACAAATAATTACAAAACAGATGCAACACCAGATTTAAGAACAAGGCTTAGGGGGCAGTAAGGAGAGTAGGTAATTAATTTGGCCAGAGCAGATCAGAGATGATTTCACAGAGGAGATAATAAAACCAAAGCTTACTGAGTGAATGCAAATAATGAAGAAGGGAGGAAAGCCAGGTGGAGACAGTTCAACATATGCGAAGGGACAGAGAGAAATGGTATGGTGGGGAAATTCTACACGGTTCGGTACTGCTGGAGCAACATCTAGAGGCTGATAGGTAGATCAGACTGGAGAAGTGAGGAGTACCTCATAGGTCCTGCTAAGAAATTTGTGATTTTTTTAAGATTTTATTTATTTATTTAGGAGAGACACACAGAGAGAGGCAGAGACATAAGCAGAGGGAGAAGCAGGCTGCCTGTGGGGCACCTGATGTGGAACTCAATCCCAGAACCCCAGGATCACCATCTGAGCCAAGGCAGATGCTCAATCACTGAGCCACCCAGGTGCCTCAGAAATTTGGGTTTTACTCTGAGTGCAATTAGGAGCCACCAAAAGCTTTTAAGTAAGAGTTGGATATGTTATGTTTACATATATGAATCTGTGAGAGGGTAGAGTTGAGAAAGGATGCAGGGATGACTGGACGCAGAAAGAACAGTTAGAAGGCCAATTCAAAACTGTAAGCAAGAGTAAGGAGAGTCTGAATCATACTAAAGACAGTGGGGTCAGAGAACAGGATAGATTCAAGGGAGATATTTAGGAAGCAGTCCACATACAAACTGGTGGTTGTAACAGAAGAGGTAGACAGGAGGTTGTCCAGCATGCTTCCAGCCTCTCTGGCTTGCTGATTTGTGTCAAAAATCGCCAGAAATGGAGGGACCAGAAGTTATCCCCTTTCTAGTTAATTTCTCTCCTCTTCAGATGTCCTACAACAGTGTTCACATAAGCAAAAGATGCTGTTTCCTTTCCTGGGATACTATGGCTATTCCATTTCTAATGCACCATGGGGGTTAATATTACGAATTATTGATTATAATAAGGCAGACCAAAAAGAGTTCTAGTCATGCCCTCTAAAAATGTTTCCCTTGTTTTAAAGTTACTGATTTCAAGAACAATATATTAACAACATGGAAGTAAAAGAAAAAAGTGCATGCAAAGTGAAAAGGATATGGATTTATAGGAATGTGCACAGGAGAGGTGAGAATATGAGTCCTCCGGCCAGATTGGAAGACTTCAGGGAGCAGAAAGAGATGAAAGTGAAGAACAGAGGAGTGGCAGGGTGGGGGGATTCAATCTCTTGAAGTTGAGTCTGACCTGAGGGTTTCTCAAGGGTGGAACCCGCCACTGTGACATGGAGCCTGAAATAGAAGATGACTGTCTCCAGGTGCCTCCAAGGAGCCAAGAGTTCAATTCAAGCATAAACAAAGGAACAAGAATCTGGGCCTGGGTGCCCCAGGGAGGAAATGAGAACTCTGTCAAGTCCCAGGATGTCTCTGATCCCTGAAACAAGGCACTTTGAGAGCGGCTACTCCAGGGCTTTAAAAACTAAACCAGCCACCAGGGTGTGGGATTTTTTTACTACCCATTATTTCCTGCTTCAACTCCATATGGAACTACTTAGTGAAAGATATTCCACTGCTAGACAAAAACACTTACAAGCAGAGACCTGGGCTTGAATCCAGCCTGAAGAGTAAGTATCCAAGGACAACTGAGGCTGAGTGGGCAGTAATTTTATAGACAGTTGGATTGGTAAGAGATCCGGCTTCCAACTATCCCTCAGTTTCCTCCTCTATAACATGACAGAACTAGTCTTGTCTAGAAGATCTCTATGAATCTTTTCACCACAACATCCTATTCTTTCTTTCCATCATCTTTTCCATAACTGAATAAATAGATTCTTCATTTGGTGTTTGAGCACTAATGTTTAACAGGCATCAGAGGATAGAAGCAAGGCAGAGAGGTGAAAATTTTCCCCACGTCCTCCAGCATATCAAAAGCACTAGCTCCTTGTTCTCTTCACATCCCACTCTGTGTATTATGGGGTCAGTTTATTTAGGGTAGGGGTTTGATCTCTACTGCAGCACATAACTCAATTTAGTATCCAGACACGTCATTTTTCTGTAACACAAAGAAAAAACCTATCAACAGATATCTGAGACTGGTTTGGAATCCAAACATTGGCCCCATTCCCAGCCTCTGAGCAAATAGCTGGTTTTCAGAGACCGAGTAACTGGATGTTGAATTCAAACCCCCGGCTTTCCTAAATGGCTTTTTGCTTTAACAAATGTTGCTGAGAGTGGAAAATCAGATCCTTTGCTTCAAGAATCTGCACATAAAATTTGCAACCCAATCCTGCATTAAACATAGCCTGGATAGGTTATCCAACAGTAATACATAGGCTATTTTAATTCAATATGTTTCTCCTTAGGAATTCAGAAATGGCTTTGTCTCAGTTCTGAGACATTCTGAATGCTTAATTCATAACACAAAAATTATTGCAACTATTACTCTTTCAATTTTGCTAGTTTTTTTAAACTGCAACAACAAAAAAAGCCAGGGGTTAACTATATATATGTATATATACTATAACTAGTAAAATTTTTATTCATTAACTTGGGGTAAGGAGTAGTTTCAACATTGAAAAATATTTTCTTTTTAAAAAAAATCTTAAAATATTTTATTTCTTTTTTTAAAAAGACTCTATTTATTTATTTGAGAGAGAGAGAGCATAGGGGTCCAAGCAGAAGGAAACGGAGAACCCGCTGAACAGGGAGCCAGCCATGGCTCAATCCTAGGACCCCAGGATCATGACCTGAGCCACCCAGGCACCCTCAAAATATTTTACGTCTAAATTTATAAATTTAAAGAAGAATAACAACTGAGGCCCTTAGAAATAACATCTCAAGTTACATTAGATCACCAGATTGAGACTATAGGAAAATGATCAGGAACTGCCAAAATACTTGTTTTAAAAAGCGAATATTTCACTAGGTTTTAGATCCTGACTAAAGAACAGTCTCTAAAATATCAAACTAAACTTTCTGAAATTAAATGTTCATAAGTCATAGGAGAAAATAATCTAGAATTTTTCTGAATCTTTTTTGTTTCTGGGCTTTCTCTGCTTAGAACCAAAGGTGGGGTCTAGTTTCACCAGGCACTCTCAAACAAAAATCATACAGCTAGAGCTAACTTTGTTGAGCACCTATTACATTCCAAGTAAAGTGATAAATGCCTTTATATGGTACTTATTCCCTCCAAGTCTTTGGGGTAGGTGCTATCATTATCATCATTTTACAAATTAGGAAGCTATGCTTAAAGAGGTAAAGGAACTTGCCCAAGCTCAGAGCCAAGGATTCAAACAGAGGTCTGTTAAATTCCTGCATCCAGACTCTTAACCACTATGTACTCCAGCTGTTCTTAAAACCTCAGTAGTAATGGGGGGTTTGGTCTGGGTCCTGGCAAATCAGATAAAGTGAGCAGTAAGGACATCATGGCATAATAGAAGAAACAACCAAAAGAACTATGTCTTAGTCCTGGATTTGCTACCTACTAGATTTATAATCTCAGATAAGGTACTAAACTTTAGTTTTCTCATATTTTAGATGAATTCTCATTTTTTTAAGAATCATACAACCTATTTCAAAGCATTGTGTGTAAGAAGCAAATGAGATTAGGGTCCTGTGACAAAGCTTTGAGGACAATGGTGATGAGACAGTAAAGGAGACCAGCGTTGGAGCCCCTCACTCCCTCCACCAGTCACTTTGATCCACACTGCAAACTTTCTGTTCTGAACCTGTTCCCTGAGAGGCCCAGCATCAGGATCTTGACCCCTCATCTCTATCTGAGCCACCCAAATAAAGAGATTAGTGGTATGAAAATGAGCACATGGGTAGCAGGGAACATGCTGGAATCTCAAATTAAAGAGAAGAGTTTTTCATTCCCACCAATAAACCTAGACTCCAATGCATGGACTAAGAACAGAATTAGAACATTTTGCTTGATGCCTGGGTGGCTCAGTTGGTTAAGTGCCTGCCTTTGGCTCAGGTGATGATCCTTGGGTCCTGGGATCCAGCCCCACATCAAGCTTCCTGCTCAGCAGAGTCTGCTTCTCCCTCCCCGTGCTCTTGTGCTCTTACGCATGTTCTCTTTCTCCCTCTTAAATAAATAAACAGAATCTTCTTTAAAAATTTAAAAAATAAAACATTTTGCTTTATAGAGTAGGCCCATAAAACACTGGACAACTATGCAACTCTAAAGAGTGACAAGAATTATTGAAATTATTATCTTTTACTGTTATAATACACATATATTTTGTGTATGTGCATGTGTGTATATTCACACTATTTCAAACTAATAGTAAATTTATTTATTTGTTTATTTATTTATTATTATTTTTTAAGATTTTATTTATTCATGACAGACACAAAGAGGCAGAGACACAGGCAGAGGGAGAAGCAGGCTCCCTGCAAGGAGCCTGATGTGGGACTCCATTGCAGGACCCTGGCATCACGACCTGAACCAAAGGCAGAGATGCTCAACCACTGAGCCACCCAGGCGTCCCCTAATAGTAAATTTAAAATGAATATAACTGCTTCTATGCAAGCTACATACTTAAGAGGATATACCAAATTACATCATCATTCAGTCACCACTGATTAACAAACAAGGTCTTTCACACTGTGTGTGTTTGATTCTCTCCAACAGGGGCTCTCTCACACAGTCATGGTGTCCCACACGCCTTCTTCCCATTCTTCCCATTCGCCCCAGTAATACTAATTACTATCACATACGCTCGCCCAGTTTTATCAGCAGTACATTGTGAGACAGCTCTCTGTTTTGTCAGCTCAGCAGAGGGTCAGATGATGTAAGAGTTATATTAATGTATTCAGATAGCAATGTGGTTACACCACTGTTTGTAGGCCTCTTCATGTCTGGAGCAGAGAACACACAACACAATGCATCACATAATACAATCATTCATTTTTCATAGTTTGGCACTGACAGTCAATACAGGATTGCAGTGCCCCAATGTGCCAAGTCTATAGTATTTTATGCCACAGTGTGTAGCACTAGAGTTTGCTGATTGTATAGCAAAGAGAACTAGCTGAGCATCTGCTTGTGTGTGCCACACTCAGAATCCCCCAGTATCAAGTATGGTTTTCCCCTAGTTTTTTCTTGGTGTCAATATACATATATTATTTTTTTAAATATTTTTATTTATTTATTTATGAGAGATACAAAGAGAGAGAGAGAGAGAGAGAGAGAGAGAGAGAGAGAGGTAGAGACACAGGCAGAGGGAGAAGCAGGCTCCATGCAGGGAGCCTAACATGGGGCTCGATCCGGGGGTTTCCAGGATCGCGCCCTGGGCTGAAGGCGGCGCTAAACCGCTGAGCCACCCGGGCTGCCCAATATACATATATTAAATCGCAGTTTTCTTGTATTTAGAATTGAGAGAGCTCTAATATGTGGGAAGAGAAGGGAGAGTTGCAAGCAAAGGAGACAACGGACATCTCTGATTAATAATCATGACGCTACAGACTCCAAGCTCCCTGAGGGCAGGATTGGGTCTTGCTCACCATTTTATCCCCACTGCCTGGAAGAGCGGTTGGCTCATAACAGGCACTCAAACAGGCGTGTTGAAAGAGTTAATGAACACGAAGCCTTATTCATAAAGTGAGCAGTACCATCCGCATCCAGGGTGATGCAAAGATGTCCACAGTTTCGTGCCCATCCAGACCCAAAGGCATGTAAATCTCGCACATGGTCACAGAATGTCACCTCACGCTAACCACCGGTTCTCTGGGTCACACACAGGGCTACAGGCACACAGTATTTTCTCCCTCTACTTTTGCAGTCCGCTGTGTCCCTGTGGCACAGAGCGGGAGGCCCACACAGCTTGCCCCCGTGCCTTGAGGGGTCCTCCTCGTGCTGAGTCCCTCCCGCCACACTTCCACAGCGCATCGGGCTGGCCGTGTGAGGATGGACCTGGGATGCGCCTGTGCGTGCACGACGGAGTGGAAGGCTCCAGGCTGTGCCACACAGCGTCTCTGCGGCCACGCTCGGCCTGTGTCCCCACGGCCTCGGGCCACAGCGTCTGGGGTCCCCCGCAGGGTGACCCGGGGGCTGACGGTCACACCGGGCCACGGTCTAGAGAGGCTCTTACCCAGTCCCTAACTGGGTCCGGGGTCCCACGCTGGGTGACTGAGACTGGGCCACTCGCCCCCGAGAGCACGCGCCTCGGTCTCGCCCTCTGACCCGGCCTCCCCGCCGCGTTCTCACCTGGTCAGGTCCCGCAGCCGCGCCTCTTCCCCGCGCAGGTAGCGCCGCAGCAGCGTCAGCAGCCGGCGCTCGGGCCCCAGGGCGCGCGCCACGCTGGTCAGCGCCGAGAAGGTGTCCCCCCGCGCCGCGGCCCCTGCCGGCTCCCCCGCCCGGAGCGCCAGCACCGCCAGCAGCGCCGCCAGCCCCGCCGCGGGGCCCATCGCCGGCTCCCGCGCGCGTCCCCTCGGACCGTCCGCTCGGCTCCCGGCGCGCGCGCCGCTCCCGCCCGGCCCGCGGTCCCGCCCCCCTCCCCCGCCCCGCCCCCTCCCCCCCGCCCCGCCCCGCCCGCGGTCCCGCCCCCCGCCCCGCCCCCGCCCCCTCCCCCCGCCCCGCCCGGCCGCCGGCCTGCCCGCCCCCGCGTTCCCGGGCTCCGTCGCCTCCGCCCGCTCTCCGGCCCCCGCTCTCCTGCCCCCTCGCTCCCCCGCCCGCCGTCCACCACGCCGCAGCCCTGGCAGGTGTTTGCCGCGGTGCCGGGTCACACTCCGGGGAGACAGAAGCGAGGATTGGGGTGGGGGGTGGGGGTGGGAGGATGAACTCACTGGTCTGTGACTGAACAACGCAACGCCATCCCCCAGATAGTCACCCCTCTGGATCGGCTGGAAATGCAGCAACACTACTGGATTCTGATCGGGAAATCCAGGAGAGTAAATGATGTGCTTGGTGATGACGATGTGGGTGGAGAGCTGTGGAGGAGCAGAGGGAAGGAAACACTTCCCAGAAGACTTGACATCTGGACCATCATGAAAGACGGGCAGAGTCGGACCTAAGGTGAAGAGGGTGAAGGCGATTAGGGTCACTGCCTGACAGATCGAGGACCTGCCAAACCTAAAACTGGGGTCCTGCATCATTGCTCTATACCATGTACCTATGGCCACTTTAAGCAAAAAACTTACTATTATCCTATTAGGCTACTTATCCTTTTCCCCACCTTCCCAGGCAACTTCCATTCCTTCATTCAACAAATATTAACCACCTCTGTCACTGTGCTGAAGACACGGAGAAATAGCACACCCAACCTGGACTCACAAGGGAAAACAGATGTAAACCAGGAACCACAATAAAGTGCTATCAGGATAAGAGAGGGTTGTGCAATGAGCAATGGCAACACTGAGGAGGGAGTCCAAGCCCTGCAGAGATGGTGGGGAGGGCTTTCCAGAGGAGGCAGTGTAGGGAATCCCTGGGTGGCTCAGCGGTTTAGCGCCTGCCTTTGGCCCAGGGCACGATCCTGGGGTCTCGGGCACAATCCTGGGGTCCCGGGATCGAGTCCCACGTCAGGCTCCCGGCATGGAGCCTGCTTCTCCCTCCTCCTGTGTCTCTGCCTCTCTCTCTCTCTCTCTATGTCTATCATAAATAAATAAATCTTGAAAAAAAAAAAACAGGAGGCAATGTATGCAGGTCCAAAAGAATCAAAAGAAATTGTCTGGAAGATGATAGGCAAGGGAGGGATGGGCTTTCCTGGCAGAAGGTACCTATGTGTACCCAGGTTTGGAGATGAAAAAATAGTTTGAGTTCCAGAAATGATGGAACTGTGGTTGGAACTGTCAGATTTATTGTCATTGCATGACATACTCAGAAACTTAGACTATTCTCTATGAAAATCCAATGGAAGTTTAAGGTAGCAATAACAGTAATAACAGCAACTGTAAAAATAATAGTTAATACTTACTGAACACTTCCTGTGTGCTAGGCATTGTCCAAGCATTTTACATGTGTTAGCTCATTTTATTCTCATATTAACTCTATGGCATAAGTAGTATTATCAGTCACATTTTACAAATAAGAAGATTGGGGCATAGAAAGGATAAATAAAACACTCAATGTTAATTATCCATTGATTACATTCAAAGGTGTGCTGGTAAACTGGCTCTCCAGGAAAAGAAAAATCCTGATTTGTGACATTTACTAATTTCTATGGTGTAAACTCTCCTACAATGGCCAGTATTAGGGTACTTAGATGATATCACTGAACACAATAAAGAGCTAACAATTAGCTTGCATGAGCTGATCGAAGCCAGCTCCAGTGCAGTACTATTCATGGAAGACACAGAGATGCACCACCCAGAGCCCCCTTGGAGGAAGGACTTGCAGGGCTCCAGGGAGTGTAGTCAGAAGAGTCTCCAACAGTTAGCTCCTTAGGGTCTGTCCTGCAGCAGAGAGCACTTACCTGAGGCCATTTAAAAACTTCCCTGGGCAGTTTGCATGACTGATCGTGGTGACGGAATAAAGACGAAATTTAACTTAAAACATGTGTCATTGGCTTTGGCAAAGTCTTGAAGGCCCTCACAAAGAGGGTTAGCAAAATCTGGAAGGGCTGCCAGGAGACTGTTGACGAAGTCTTGATAGACAGGAGGGAAAACATTGCTGTAGGCTGGAGAAAAGGGTACCTGACTGCTGTTCCATCCTGGAAGAATAGTTAATGAACCTTGTCCTGCAGGGAATGTAAAAATAGAAGACATTCTATTGTGAATAATTACATTGTGAATCTGGCTAAAGGAGTCTCCAGGCAGAATGATCAAGTGCCAACTGGCTTCTTCTGGCAGAATATGACAAAACACAAAAAACACTCAAGGAATGGCTCAGTTTCTGAGCTGAATATAGAGGAAATCCAGAGGGTCTGGTACAGTCTTTCCAAGGATCTAAAGTTTCTCAAAGAAATGATGCAGCACAGAGAACAAGCCCAGGGTGCTATAAGTAAAGCATGACCACAAGGTAAAGCTTTCAGAAGTGTGGTTTTAAAGATTCTTTGTTAGACTTTAGAAAGATTTTTAGGGCATTGCTTAGTAGAACATCAAAGAATCTTGAGGGCATTTCTTTTAGATTCTCTCTGGTAAACAAGGCAGCCTCAAAGAGTCTTAAGAGTGTCCCCCATAAGGTAGACTATTTCAATTAAGCAAAAATGCTTCTTTTTTTAATTTTTTTATTTATTTATGATAGTCACAGAGAGAGAAAGAGAGAGAGGCAGAGACATAGGCAGAAGGAGAAGCAGGCTCCATGCACTGGGAGCCCGACGTGGGATTCGATCCCAGGTCTCCAGGATCGTGCCCTGGGCCAAAGGCAGGCGCCAAACCGCTGCGCCACCCAGGGATCCCAGCAAAAATGCTTCTAAGAACCTTAATACTGTTATACCACAGCATCCTGACTCTAAACCCAAGTTATAGAAGGGCCCAGAAAGAAATATAGATGTGGCATTTGTCTTAAGGAGTGAATTCCAATAAGATTTATGGAAGATCATCAAAGTTTTAAGATGAGGGGCACATGGCCGGCTCAGTCAGTGGAACGTGTAAGTGGATCTCAGGGTTGTGAGTGCAAGCACCATGTTGGGTGTAGAGATTACATACACACACTTAAAAAGTTTTAAGATGATAATTTTATCAGAAGAAGTACTGCCAGTTTTGGCTAAAGACAAAGAAAATACGAAAAAGAAAGGAAGGGAATAAAGAAGAAAAGAAAGAAAGAAAGAGGGATCCCTGGGTGGCGCAGCAGTTTGGCGCCTGCCTTTGGCCCAGGGCATGATCCTGGAGACCCGGGATCGAATCCCACATCGGGCTCCCGGTGCATGGAGTCTGCTTCTCCCTCTGCCTGTGTCTCTGCCTCTCTCTCTCTCTGTGACTATCATAAATAAATAAAAATTAGAAAAAGAAATAAACCCGTTCCCTATTGCTGCTAGTAACAAATTACCACAAATTAGTGACTTGGAACAACCCAAATTAATTTTCTTACATTGCTCGAGTTCAGAAGTCTGAATGGATTTCAGTAGGCTGAAATCCAGGTGTCAGCAGGGCTGTTTCTTCCGGAGGCTCTAGAGGAGAATCTCTTCCTTGCTTTTTTCCAGTTTCTGTGGGTTGCCTGCATTTCTTGATTCATAGCCCCTTCTTTTTTTTTTTTCATAGCCCCTTCTTTCATCCTCAAAACCAGCAACATAACATGTTTCAATTTCTATTTGACTTTGCTTCTACTGTCACATCTCCTTTTCTGACTCTTTTAAAGACCTTTGTGATTACACCAGTCTCACCAAGATTAATCCAGGATAATCTCCCCATCTCCTTAACTTAATGACACCCCCAAAGTCTCAGGTTTGGGAACTAGGGCATGGGGACATTATTCTGCCTACTATAATCCCTAAACTTCTATGGGCAGAAAGCTGACTGAGATCAACTCAGTTGCAAACAAAGGTCCATGGCCATTTCACCATTCTCTCTGTCAGGAGAAGTGTTAGGGGGGAAAGTATAATGGAGAAGAAGCCAGAGTAGAAAGAGAGAATCCATTGTGGTTAAAATAGCTTTCTCTGGTAAATTTTACAAATTCATATAGCAATGTGAACACATTATTAGGCTCACCCATCCTCCCAATCCTGAGGGCCTCAGAAAGGTTTGTGCTGGCAGCCGGGGTGGCTCAGTGGTTTAGCGCCGCCTTTGGCCCAGGGCGTGATCCTGGAGACCTGGGACGGAGTCCCACGTTGGGTTCCATGCATGGAGCCTGCTTCTCCCTCTGCCTGTGTCTCTGCCTCTCTCTTTCTCTCTCTGTGTGTCTGTCTCTCATGGATAAATTTTTTTAAAATCTTACAAAAAAAAAGAAAGAAAGAAAGACAGAAAGAAAGTGTTTGTGTAAAGCAGGGACCTTGAACCTTGAAGCTTAAGCTTCCTGGCAAATCTGCCTCTGGTCACCAATAAGTACATGGACTCTGGATCTACACTACCTGGGCTCAGATCTCTGCTCTATACTTATGTTGTCTCCATTGATGTTATAGATTGGGTATTCCAGAAGCAGACGCTAAGATAGAGTTTGTTCAACAATTTTGAACATTTGTGTTATCTCTTCCTGGGTGTCTGTTGATTGCCTTTTCTCATTCCTGAGATTTTCCTGGTTCTTCATATGCAGTTATTTATTTACAAGATATTTATTACAGATCAACATTTTGAAGGGGAGATGAAGGAGGGAAGGGCAGAGGAGGAAGTCAAAGAGGCCTGACCAAGCTTTGGTCAAAGCAGCAGGAGGGCTGCAGCTACTTTCTCCCAGCAGAGCTGTCTCACATCAGGCCTGAATGGCTGGGCTTTATTCCCTCACCTCACTCCATCATTGTTTTAGGGTTCACTGAACTCTTGGAACTGTAGGCTTACGTCTTTTGTCAAATTTGGGAAATGTTCATATATTATTTAGTCAAATACTTCTT